ACTCGACTACGGCACCTCTTCCGAAATGATATTTTAGGGGTAGTATAATTATGACTGATCCTTGAGCACCTTTCAACATTTTCTCTCCTTTGTAAATACATGTAAATATCTCATCCGAGTATGAACTATAGACTGAGTCGACGCTACGTTAAAGAGTCATTGTTTTAAACACGATGAGTAAGTTATTATCGTTATCTTTTGCATACCAACAATTGTAAACACTTACCGGTAAGAGCGACGGTCGACCTGATAATAATCACATTGTCATTTGCTTGGCTATTGAGGAACCATCTCTATCCAAATGATATTATAATGTCATAATCAATGGTTGAAACTAAACTTCCAAAATGAATCAGGAACAACGAGATTTGGGATAGATCAATGATTTGTTATTGTTCAGGAATAGAATTAACGCCATGGATGTCATGCCTAAAAATCAATAGATTATTATAATAAAACTGTTGTCATTTTAAACGTGATAACGTTAGGTAGTGGGGTGTTATTGGCTTACGTTGTTGTTATCATTTCGAATTTCAAATCATTTACTAGTAAAGGTGCTAGAGGGGGGGGGGGGAGGGGGGGCTTAAGGCAAATTTTAAAGAGAAAATTAAAAAGAATCCAGTCTCACCTACACCAAATTGTATAGATTATTAATGATTTTAATCGAGGTACATGCAGGAAATAGATACAGGATCCCGCAAGTTCATCTGCCATTTAACCAAATATGTTTCACCTACGTCAGATTTTCTATTACATTTTATTTTGCATAAACTTTTTCAGAACGGTTTTTCAAAATGCTGGTCTTAGTTAAATATATGAATCAAATCAAATCAAATAAACCCTATTTGTTTCCAATCACAGTAACAAATGACATTATACATTGTTGTAAAGCGTAGGCAAAGAAAAACAAAAGATAAAGAAGATATTTAAATCTACTAAAACTGTGGAATGGAAAAAGGTGCATCTGTAAAAGCCACAAGGCCTTGATGAATGGGCGCACCCTGAGCGAGTCGCAATATAATACACAATAAGGATCTCAGTATGCTGGAAAAGAGTATAGGGATAAACAACATATCATTTAAGAAGAACTCTACAATGACAAGAAAGGCTGCTTAAGCTTTTATTTTAAACAATTTAGTGAATTTAATTGATTGTAAAGAATGTGTAAATGTGTTACAAACTTTAGCGCCATTATGGGAAAGAGAAATTGCAACAGTATAGATGATAATATTCAACATCAAATTGTCTATGAGCAATGCCTTAGAGCTCAACAATATACCTCTAGATGAATAGCATAATAATTACTTACAAGACAGGATACTTCCGTGATGGTTTGTCCGGCCTCAGTCCCCCGTCGTCCTATTTTTGCTCTTTTTCCTTTTTTCGGGGGGGGGGGGGGGGGCAATGGTAAAAATTGAGCAGTAATAATACAGATGCAGTAGCTAGATTTTTATTACCAAATGCATGCCGCGTATAATAGCGAGTAAATCATTTACATGTAGATTTCTGCTGTACTTCGGCCTGCTAATGTACTTCGTCCTCTTTTGAAGGTATGTATGCACAGTTAATAATTATGTAGTATGATGTCATCATTATGCAGTGGCGGATTCAGGGGGGGGGGGGGGGGACGTATTCTGATTTTTGGGTTGTGCAAAACTGAATTGGAATTCAGCTTATTTTCAAAAAATTAAGCATGCTTCTTTATATTAAGCCATGGTGCATGAAAAGGTTAGTGTAAAAACACTTCTGAAAAGAGAGGAAGAATGGTATTCAGTTATTGTTGGGGTCATTCCTAACGGCTTGGGAGGGGTTATTAAAGAGGTGCTGGCCATACGAAAATGGCAGTGACGGTAATGATGGATACAGGAATGAGGAGGAAGTGCACACTTTGATACCGCAAGCGTATTGGGGATGATCATCCTATCATTTTAGGTTCTGCAATCTGGGTCGAAATCCAGCATAATATATTTATTTAAAAAAGGTTCATGTACATGTAAAAGCACTCATGATGAAGCCATGCCCGGTCCTTACAAAGAGGAGCAGAATCTCATATTAACAAATAAATTAGGACAAGTCATTAGTTGATATCTGCGCGAAGCATGGCTGCGTTCGCGTGTATAATATGCCTAAAGTTGATATTAGTTTGTTGTGTTTTATACCAATATCTGTTGTTATAAAAACTTAACATCGTTTTCCTAAATTTAATTGGTAACATCGTTTTCGGAATTTAACCCATGAAAATCTAGTAACACATTAACAAATAGAAAAGAAATTCATCTTTAAGTAAACTTGAAATAAAAAGCGTTCAATTGGAGATCACGGGCATCGATCCCGGTACCTCTCGCATGCTAAGCGAGCGCTCTACCATCTGAGCTAGCTCCCCGAAGCACACATGTACAAACGAAGTGGCCATACATTATATAATCTAATATGAAAACCACATCTTAAGAATACCCCTTTTGAGCTACATGCTTTAATACAGGTTGGCTTTTTAGCAATTAGTCCATGTTTTCCTCAGTTGCAAGCCATGAATAACTTTAAAGAAGAACTTTCTGACTGGAATCTGTCCAGGTCAGTCGATCATAAGTGTATCCCTGCCCCACATGCAGACCCACAACCCTCACAGACCCTGACAGGGCCATGCAAAGCCTGTCGAATGCCTGTGGTAATAGTAAGAAAACTTCAAGCTCAGGGTGTCCTTGAAGAGCCGGTTGCTAAGTTTGTCCTCATCACAGTATTTCAGCACATTGTGTCCATTTCACCTATTCTATCCCTTTTCTGATTGCCGGAGAGGGTGTCATCTGAATGAAATATATTTGATCCATAATTTTTCATATTCTACAGAAATCTACGTACCGGTAGTTTAATCATTATCAAATGGACGGCAAAGTTTGTGAACAAGAATTCCGGAGATATCGCGATCTCAAAATTCGCTGTCGGATCGGAAAGCGCTGCAACTTACGAAAAAGTCATAAAAATAACGAGACCTTAATTTGCGCAAGGTAGTTAACAGATGATTTTAACCACAAAATATGATCCATCAAATATGAGATAGTTGCCTTATTTTCAAGGCAAACTATCATACAATGAGATGGTACCATTTTTACTTCCAATTTTAATGACATCTGCTCTCAAAAATAAAGATTTCCAGACCCTAGTCGGTAAGTTCATATTTTTGGGAACGAACGCAAAAGACTGCAAAATTTGTCGATCTTTTGTCAATATTTTAAATAGTTTCACATCAGTTCCATCGAAAAATGTTCGTCTCTGGGTAATTTTAAGTTCCTCTTTACATTGTTAGCATCAGATTTTAAAGTATTGACGATTTTTGAGATAGCGAACTATGGTCACCCACCATACAGCATTTGCGAGAAAAGTGGAGTAAACTAGCAAAAAAAGGAGAAAGAATTGCGTGTCACATACCCCTCCCCATGGCAATAGTGTTAGACCTCCAAATGCCCCCGAAAATGTAAAATTCCTTACTTTGTTTTAATTGCTTGCCCCCTCCTCTTTGAAAATTCTGTATCTGCCCCTGGTGGGTACCAAGTCCAATGTTGATGAACAGATTATATGCCCCGTCATTTAACTTCAGAAAAAAGATACACTGGGGTTCGGGGTTCTAATAAAGGCGATGCGTACCCATATATAACCAGGGCAGAGAGAGAGAGAGAGAGAGGGGGGGGGGGTTAGGGTCGCCCTCAATCATAGAATCACATTTGCACTTGAATCCATTCACTGTGTCAAACTCCATCCCTAAGCATTGCTGACGTCATTTATCGAAGTATCAATCTATTTAAAGTTCGATCTTTGAAACCAATGAGTCAACGAAAAAGAGATTAATTTTAATACATTGCCAAAATTCCGATATTACACCCAATGTTACGTTAGACATACAAACAAGTTAGGCAAATCATTGTGAATATCTTCCTCAGGTACATACATGTAGAAAGAAATCAACCTGTGAGATAATACATTTTCATTCTTAAAAATGGAATTTAAAGCCTCTCCTCAGCTCTCGTTATTCATTATTATACATAATTATGGATCAGTCACGTACGTAGTGTAATGAAATGCGGAAATAATTCCCTTGGTGTTCAAAAGTGCATTTAATACAAAGTTGTCATAAAAAATATAAAGTTTGTATAATGACTTAATTGAAATGTATTTCAATTAAGGACAACGTTCTCCAATGTTCATAATTTATATCAAGATGAAAATGATACATACGACGCTAGGTTTATATAATTATGATGCATTTATCTATGTATACAATTAATATATATTTAACTAGTTACAAGAACGAAATACAAAAACCTTAAACTACAGACATGTAGATAAAAGTAGTAATTCATTAAGAGCAAAGTTAATACAGATAGCAAATATTCGTGAAAAACCAATAAGAGTAACATACTCAATTATAATACATTAATCAATGCAATGTAAACAATTACAAAAACGAAACAGATAAGTTTTGAGAAAGGTTTTGAGAATACGGGTCACTATCTTTAATAGCCCGTTTCACGCGAAGCGTTATCAACCAATGCCAATCAAATGTACAATACAATAGACGACCTTCAGATAATGACAGCCACGCACAAACCATCACATTATTATATTCTCATGGTTCTAGATCTTGTGTAGACTGCCGCACGTGGGCATTTATGTTGTTTGAATGTCTTTGGATGGTGTAATTGAAACAATTTGTGCAACTGGCATTTCATAAAATATTATTATATTATTACAATAAATATTTCGACATACTACTGAAAAAAATAATCATGATGTGTCTATATAAAAGATAATTATATTGTAAAATGACATCGCCAGATAAGGTCTAGAGTAAAAGCATCGGGAATAGTTTTAGGACTGTCCATTTTCCTCGTCATATTTCACATTACCGGCGATGACGTCATCATAGGATGGGGGCGGGGGTACAATTTCCCCCTCCGATGTCGGATCGACCACGCCCCAATTGGATGGTTGACCAGGGGCTGCGTAGTTCACTGGAAGCGCTCCCGGTTGGGGGTAAGGTATAGGTGTAGCTGTGAGTTGGTAGCGGGTGGGTACTGAGGAGGTCCGCTGGGGTCGGGAGGATATAAAGTTGCCCCTAGGTAGCTTTATTGAAGAAGAAAAACATGAAATAACACAATACAGAAGATTGTAGTCAGTGTGGTTATGACTTTACAAACGTATGTCCTGTCATTTAATGGGGTGGGGTAGGTGTGTGGTGTGTGTGGGGGGGGGGGGGCTAAAAAGATGATTGAAAAACAAGACAGCTATGGAACCACCGTTCGGCTCAGGGTCTAAGAAGGTGTCAGGTAATCCCCTTCTCTCTCTCTCTCTCTCTCTCTCTCTCTCTCTGTCTGTATTCCCCTTCCCCCTCTCTCTCTCTCTCTATCTCTCTCTTTCTCTCTGTCTTCCTCTCTCTCTCTCTCTCTCTCTGTTTCTCTCCCTAACCTATAATTTCCTCACTTCAATCGGAGCTAAATGTGCCCCTGACCGCAAGGATGTCGAAATGTAAGATCTGTGTTCGGCGCTTAGACCCAATCTACTTATTTCATAAAATTAATGCTATATTGATCCTCATTGCCAGTTATGCTCTAAATTTCCCATTGATAATATCTTCTCGTGAAACAGAGCTTTTACTTACTTAGTTGCATATGGTGGATAAGGCTGGGCGGGGCCTAATGGATACCCGGGCTGCGTTCCCATGGCAACTCCTACAGACGGCGGCGCACCTGTTTGGACGATATACGATGTCGTCTCATTAGCTTGTGAAACTGTGGCGCCTTCTCCTTCCAAAGTCTCATTGGAGGCTATCATATTAGGGTTCACTGTCCCAGCTTCCAACTCTCCTGCATGCTCTTGGGCGTCTGAAGTCTGATATTTCTTCATCAAGTGACATCGCATAACGCCGACAATTACAGCGATCAAGGAGCTAATGCTGAGGATGACGATACCGGCAATGCCGACGGAAGAATCATTCCATCCTCCAACAGTCAACATCGTCATGCCCATGCAGATGCCGACAAAGGCGATCACGGAAAATATCACCAGGAGGGGATAGGACCTCGGAGTGACGGCCGCTCCAGTTTCCCCACTCGTGCCAGCAGTACCAGTTCGATTCCCCCATCGAACCGCGAAGATGGCACCACCGCCATGATGACGTCGACGGCGACGGTTATGTCGATTATTGCGGTGATTACGACGATGATTTGCACGTCGACGACCTCCAGCTCGACGTCCTCCTCTTCGCTCACCGACACCCATATCGTTGGTGTTATATTTCTAGCGAGGCTGTGACCGAAAACTCAATTACAGTACGCTGAAAGGAAAAGTATTGAAGAGTATAGAAATTAGAGTTGAAAATTCGAATATCTGTTTTCTTTGCTAATATGGTTAGGATATCCTGGTCATTAAGCTTTTTTTTTTTTGGCAGGTCCGATTTCGGAAGACCAAAAAACAACAAGTTTATGTAAATAAATTGATACTCGTATTACCCTCCCCCACCCCTGCGACAAATCTTCATGGGTGGATGGGATTAATGGGGGGGGGGTGGTGGGTCCTATACTATCATGTGCACCTCCTGCCCCTCTCGGTAAATCTGGAAGGACTTATAGCAGGTTTCCAGACACATATTCCAGGGAGAAAAGGAAATAATGGGGGGGGGGGGTGCATCTTAAAAATAATAATAATCTAGATTCATATACCGTCTCTAAGGAATCAAAGGGCGCCACAAGTCCTTTTTGGTGATTCTATTTTTTTCTTCTTGCCCAGTTGAAAGATAATACATTGAAGAATACCTCAGTAAAATATCTAATTCCGGTATGCACAATAAGGGTTTATACAATGACAAGAAGTGCTGCTTGAGTTTACGAATTGGTGAATTGAATTGATTGTAAAGAATGTGGATAATGTGTTCCAAACTTTAGGGCAATTATGGCGAAAAGAAATTGCAACAGTGCTGGTAGATACTTGTATCTAATGCGTGTATAAGATTTGTTTATGAGCAAGCATGCCTTCGAGCTCAACAAAATACCCCTTAATGAATAGGAAAATTAGTACTTACAAGATAGGATACTTCCGTGATGGTTTGTCCGGCCTCAGCTCCTGTTTGATCTACGTTTTGTTCATTTTTCTTCCGGGGTGAGGGGAATAAGCGATGGTAAAATGAGTCCAGCTTTAAGATGTTTATAGTCTAATGTATGCCGCGTACAAATAATAGTGAGTACATCAGTTACTGCTGTACTTTGGCCTGCTATATAAATGTACTTCTTCCTCTTATTTCGACGCCATGTATGCACAGTTACGTAGTATGATGTCATCATTTTGTACCGGACGATGCACGCATTTGTTTACTATTAGTTCTATACAAACAATGACAACAACGCCAACGGGGCTGGGAAGGAGGGACAAATGTATGGTGGCCCTGAAGGGACATCGCGAACAGACCAAATCTCGAATTATTCACGACGAAATTCACGATATCGTCAATTTCGTCGTGAATAATTGGCGATAAAATTCACGACGTCGTCAATATACGAAATCGCGAATTATTCACGACGAAATTGGCGACGAAATTCACGATATCGTCAATTTCGTCGTCAATAATTGGTTTCGTCGCCAATTACGTCGTAAATTCTATTTGTCCATGCTAACGTGGCCTGCCAAGTCTAGCGGTAAACAATCCAGCCCCTTGAAAACGATTATGACGAGACGTTTATACCATAATTTCTGGGCGCTAGTGTACTTCCGAATCCATTTGTTTAGCAGTTTAATATCCATTCTAAATAAGGGAATTTAGCCCAATTGTTTACTAATTTTACTCATAATCATATGTTGCATTTTCCACCTGAATTTAGTTTACATCCGACATCGGGAAAGGCTTCGATGTCGACGTCGTCGCTCAGTACCGTCTCTACGCTATCAGTATCAGTCCAAAATTATGCAGACTTCTCGTATGGTTTATGGTATCGTGCATGCGCGTAACAAAGAGCTAAAAATCTTCGTTCACACACAGTGATATTATGCCAAATATTATCAGTATTGTTTTGTTTTTATTGTTGTTGATGATGGTGGTGGTATTCAGGGACGGCGAGCCCGAGGGTCGGTGGGAGGGGGTGTCGATAAAAATAGATTTTTAATTTTCCTCACTGTTTGTAAATAATACTTTTTTTCCGTTTAATTGTTGGACAATAAAAAAAATCCCTAAATTTACAGTCAGGCAAAACATGCTTATGCAGAAGCCTCGCCCGCCCCGCAAAATAGAGAGAGAGAGAGAGGGAAGAGAAGGGAAATGAAAAGAGGGGAGAAAGGGAAATAAAGAAGAGGAAGAAGAAAAGAAGGATATCGGGGGAAGGTCGAAAGGCACCCGCCTCCCCCTGCAAACCTCTCTCTCTCTCTCTCTCTTTGCGGGGGGGGGGGGGGGCGCAAGGCCTTTTCGCCCCCGATCTCCTTACCCCTTTTATTATCTTCTTTCTCTTCTTTCTTTCCCGTTCTCTCCTCTTTCCATTTCCCTTCTTTACCTTTTCTCTCTCTCTCTCTCTTTGCGGGGGGGGGGGGGACAAGGGCCGCTCGGCCCCCAAATCTCATTCTTCCCCCTTTTTTCTTTCCCCTCCTTCCTTTTCCTTATCTCTCTCTCTCTCTCTCTCTCTCTCTCTCTTTGCGGGGGGGGGGGAGGCCCTGTTGCCCCCGATCTACTTCACTCCTTTTCTTCTTCCTTTTCTTTCTTTCTCGTTCTCTCCTTTTTCAATATTCCTTCTCTCTCTTTTTTTGCGGGGGGGGGGCAGGCCGCCGGCTCGCCTTCTCCCGATCTCCTTCTTTCTCCCTTTTCTTTTCTATCCCTTTCCCTTCCATTTCCCTTCCTTCTTTCTCTTTTAGGTTTGCAGGGGGGGGGGTCGAGGCAAGGGCTTTTCGGCCTCCCCCGATCTCCTTTTCTTTTCCCTCTTTTTTCTTTCTTTCCCTTTCTCTCCTCTTTCCATTTCCCTTCTTTCCTTCTCTCTCTCTCTCTCTCCTCTCTCTCTCTCTCTCTCTCTCTGTCTCTCTCTTTGCGGGGGGGGGGGGAGGGGGAGGGGCCAAGGCCCTCTTGCCCCCGATCTCCTTCTTTCCCCCTTTTCTTTTCTTTTCCTCTTCTTTCTTTCAATTTCTCTCCTCTTTCCATTTCCCTTCTTTTCATTATTTTCATTATTGGTAGACCATCACACAGACAGGCGAGGGGGGTTTCCGAAATATTATGACAATAGCAGTTTAATATCCATTCTAAATAAGGGAATTTAGCCCAATTGTTTACTAATTTTACTCATAATCATATGTTGCATTTTCCACCTGAATTTAGTTTACATCCGACATCGGGAAAGGCTTCGATGTCGACGTCGTCGCTCAGTACCGTCTCTACGCTATCAGTATCAGTCCAAAATTATGCAGACTTCTCGTATGGTTTATGGTATCGTGCATGCGCGTAACAAAGAGCTAAAAATCTTCGTTCACACACAGTGATATAACTTATATGCCAAATATTATCAGTATTGTTTTGTTTTTATTGTTGTTGATGATGGTGGTGGTATTCAGGGACGGCGAGCCCGAGGGTCGGTGGGAGGGGGTGTCGATAAAAATAGATTTTTAATTTTCCTCACTGTTTGTAAATAATACTTTTTTTCCGTTTAATTGTTGGACAATAAAAAAAATCCCTAAATTTACAGTCAGGCAAAACATGCTTATGCAGAAGCCTCGCCCGCCCCGCAAAATAGAGAGAGAGAGAGAGGAAGAGAAGGGAAATGAAAAGAGGGAGAAAGGGAAATAAAGAAGAGGAAGAAGAAAAGAAGGATATCGGGGGAAGGTCGAAAGGCACCCGCCTCCCCTGCAAACCTCTCTCTCTCTCTCTCTCTTTGCGGGGGGGGGGGGGGCGCAAGGCCTTTTCGCCCCCGATCTCCTTACCCCTTTTATTATCTTCTTTCTCTTCTTTCTTTCCCGTTCTCTCCTCTTTCCATTTCCCTTCTTTACCTTTTCTCTCTCTCTCTCTCTTTGCGGGGGGGGGGGGGGGGACAAGGGCCGCTCGGCCCCCAAATCTCATTCTTCCCCCTTTTTTCTTTCCCTCCTTCCCTTTTCCTTATCTCTCTCTCTCTCTCTCTCTCTCTCTCTCTCTCTTTTGCGGGGGGGGGGGGGAGGCCCTGTTGCCCCCGATCTACTTCACTCCTTTTCTTCTTCCTTTTCTTTCTTTCTCGTTCTCTCCTTTTTCAATATTCCTTCTCTCTCTTTTTTTGCGGGGGGGGGGCAAGGCCGGCTCGCCTTCTCCCGATCTCCTTCTTTCTCCCTTTTCTTTTCTATCCCTTTCCTTCCATTTCCCTTCCTTCTTTCTCTTTTAGGTTTGCAGGGGGGGGTCGAGGCAAGGGCTTTTCGGCCTCCCCGATCTCCTTTTCTTTTCCCTCTTTTTTCTTTCTTTCCCTTTCTCTCCTCTTTCCATTTCCCTTCTTTTCCTTCTCTCTCTCTCTCTCTCTCTCTCTCCTCTCTCTCTCTCTCTCTGTCTCTCTCTTTGCGGGGGGGGGGGGGGGGGGGGAGGGGGGGGGGCCAAGGCCCCCTCTTGCCCCCGATCTCCTTCTTTCCCCCTTTTCTTTTCTTCTTCCTCTTCTTTCTTTCAATTTCTCTCCTCTTTCCATTTCCCTTCTTTTCATTATTTTCATTATTGGTAGACCATCACACAGACAGGCGAGGGGGGTTTCCGAAATATTATGACAATAGCAGTTTAATATCCATTCTAAATAAGGGAATTTAGCCCAATTGTTTACTAATTTTACTCATAATCATATGTTGCATTTTCCACCTGATTTAGTTTACATCCGACATCGGGAAAGGCTTCGATGTCGACGTCGTCGCTCAGTACCGTCTCTACGCTATCAGTATCAGTCCAAAATTATGCAGACTTCTCGTATGGTTTATGGTATCGTGCATGCGCGTAACAAAGAGCTAAAAATCTTCGTTCACACACAGTGATATTATGCCAAATATTATCAGTATTGTTTTGTTTTTATTGTTGTTGATGATGGTGGTGGTATTCAGGGACGGCGAGCCCGAGGGTCGGTGGGAGGGGGTGTCGATAAAAATAGATTTTTAATTTTCCTCACTGTTTGTAAATAATACTTTTTTTCCGTTTAATTGTTGGACAATAAAAAAATCCCTAAATTTACAGTCAGGCAAAACATGCTTATGCAGAAGCCTCGCCCGCCCCGCAAAATAGAGAGAGAGAGAGAGGGAAGAGAAGGGAAATGAAAAGAGGGGAGAAAGGGAAATAAAAAGAGGAAGAAGAAAAGAAGGATATCGGGGGAAGGTCGAAAGGCACCCGCCTCCCCCTGCAAACCTCTCTCTCTCTCTCTCTCTTTGCGGGGGGGGGGCGCAAGGCCTTTTCGCCCCCGATCTCCTTACCCCTTTTATTATCTTCTTTCTCTTCTTTCTTTCCCGTTTCTCTCCTCTTTCCATTTCCCTTCTTTACCTTTTCTCTCTCTCTCTCTCTTTGCGGGGGGGGGGGACAAGGGCCGCTCGGCCCCCAAATCTCATTCTTCCCCCTTTTTTCTTTCCCCTCCTTCCCTTTTCCTTATCTCTCTCTCTCTCTCTCTCTCTCTCTCTCTCTCTCTCTCTCTCTCTCTCTCTTTTTGCGGGGGGGGGGGGGAGGCCCTGTTGCCCCCGATCTCCTTCACTCCTTTTGTTCTTCCTTTTCTTTCTTTCTCGTTCTCTCCTTTTTCAATATCCCTTCTCTCTCTTTTTTTGCGGGGGGGGGGGCAAGGCCGGCTCGCCTTCTCCCGATCTCCTTCTTTCCCCCTTTTCTTTTCTATCCCTTTCCCTTCCATTTCCCTTCCTTCTTTCTCTTTTAGGTTTGCAGGGGGGGGGGATCGAGGCAAGGGCTTTTCGGCCTCCCCCGATCTCCTTTTCTTTTCCCTCTTTTTTCTTTCTTTCCCTTTCTCTCCTCTTTCCATTTCCCTCTTTTCCTTCTCTCTCTCTCTCTCTCTCTCTCTCTCTGTCTCTCTCTTTGCGGGGGGAGGGGGAGGGGCCAAGGCCCTCTTGCCCCCGATCTCCTTCTTTCCCCCTTTTCTTTTTTTCTTCCTCCTTCTTTCTTTCAATTTCTCTCCTCTTTCCATTTCCCTTCTTTTCATTATTTTCATTATTGGTAGACCATCACACAGACAGGGGAGGGGGGTTTCCGAAATATTATGACAATTAGTAGTAAAGCGAGCAGTAAAAGATAGAACAAACGGAATCAAATTTACATATATATTTTTTTTGTAGTCGAAAATTTATGTACAAAAGGTATGTAAATTTAGTTCTAAATAGGGGGGGGGTGGTTCATGGACATAGGCCAATTGTCACCCCCCCTCCCCCCGATCTCCTTCACCCTTCTTTCCCCTTTTCTTTTCTATCCCTTTCCCTTCCATTTCCCTTCCTTCTTTCTCTTTTAGGTTTGCAGGGGGTCGAGGCAAGGGCTTTTCGGCCTCCCCCGATCTCCTTTTCTTTTCCTCTTCTTTCTTTCTTTCCCTTTCTCTCCTTTTTCCATTTCCCTTCTTTTCCTTCTCTCTCTCTCTCTCTCTCTCTCTCTCTCTCTCTCTCTCTCTCTTTGCGGGGGGGGGGGGGGAGGGGGAAAGGCCCTCTCGCCCCCTATCTCCTTCTTTCCCTCTTTTCTTTTCTTCTTCCTCTTCTTTCTTTCACTTTCTCTCCTTTTTCCATTTCCCTTCTTTTCCTTCTCTCTCTCTCTCACTTCTCCGCTGTACAATTACCCTTAGTGCTTTACCCTTATTTTGTCAAAGATAAAATACAAATAGAGCATAGTATGAAGTTAAAACCTACCATATTCACAGAAATCATGATAAAAACGTCCCGTCATAATCGTCTTCAAGGGGCTGGATTGTTTACCGCTAGACTAGGCAGGCCGCGTAAGCAAGGACAAATAAAATTGACGACGTAATTGGAAACGAAACCAGGCAGGCGTGAATGTCTTCGTGAATTTTATCGCCAATTATTCACGACGAAATTGACGATATCGTGAATTTCGTCGCCAATTCCGTCGTGAATAATTCGCGATTTGGTCTATTCGTGATGTCCCTTCAGGCCACCATACAAATGATAGAGCACCGAAGTGTGACGTCATACTGGCCAATAATTTTATGTCAAGGTTGCTGGTTCCACACGATGTTGTGCTAAACAATGGTGTGGTGATAACACCAGCCCTTAACACTGAATTTGCCCTGCTCCAGCCCGTTGCTTGAATCGTTTCACGGTGAAGCTCATGCAACCAACCTGGATGACTAGCGAGCATGACAATAGCACGTCGATATTCTATACACAACGCACCATTCCGTATTGCATTATTGGTAGACCACCACACAGACAGGGCGGAGTCAGGATTCTCTAAAGGGGGAGGGGGGGGGGGGAGGGGTTCCGAAATATTCTGACAAGTATTAAAACGAGCAATAAAAGAAAGAACAAATGAGAATCAAATTTACAGTTGTTTTTTTTTGTAGTCGAAAAATTTTAAAATTTGAAACATTTGTGTACTAAAGGTATGTAAATTTAGTTCTAAAAAGGGGGGGGGGGGGGGGAGTGGTTCATGGACATAGGCCGATTGTCACCCCCCCCCCCCGGCTTTCAATCTGGCAGTGATTGAGCATACGTGAATATGGTAATTGAAGGAAACAAGATACGCCTTTCATGAAGTTCAAGATGCATTTATTACAACATGTTGAGGAAAACCATTTCAAAGAAATACAAGTTGTTCACAAATCGAGTTGAATTAGATTTCAAATCACAGATCCCATCTAGAGGATTATGAGGGCACAAGCCCTATTCCCATTTTATTCTTCTAGCCCCTTCTCCCCTCCCCCGTTAAAATAAATTTACAAGTATATTTATATCCTACTGAATTACTCCTGCGATTATCAAATATAAATTAATATGTTAATGGGGAATGGAAGCAGAACAAATGAGAAGAAAAGTTCAGAGAAAGTTGGAGCAGATTCCGATAAAAAATAAGAAAGTTATGAACTTTTGAGGTTGCGATGAATGATTTACTAATTGGCAACACTGTGACGTATATTGCGAGCTTCTCTTCAATTTGCCCTGTACATAAAATATCAAAACTTTCATTTGATCTCTTCATCTTAATGTCTCTGCCTGCTTCTATTAAAACCAACTTAATATCAGGACGGACTTTCCCTTTAATAGGCTTATGACTAGTATATAGATTTGTACATAATCGAATGATATGTGAATAATAACAAAAAGTAAACTAAAGTATTGATAGATACACCGCAATTTCTAAAATGAAAGAACTTTCGCTGGCGGAAAGCGTTTTGCGTTTCTTGATGGCGGCTTGAACCTGGAAGTGACAGTAAGGCATATAAGCATTGTGCTTTTAAAAACAAAAATCGCTACAAATGGTACTGGAAAATGTTACAATGAAGCTACTGTGTGTAGAGTTAGGATGCCATAGTAACAATGATCCTGGTACCCGTTACAGTACCTTTTCTACACGTATTAAGTAGAAAACTATTTTTTGTTAATACGTTTTTCATTATCTTTTAGGAAAACATTTACATTTATATTAAGGCGATTAGAATATAAAAAAAGTTTAAAAGCAAATTGATCTGAAATAAAGCAGAAAAATAAGAGAAGCTCATTGTGAAAGTTTGACGAAATCGGAAAACAATAAATAAATTCTCAGCCGAGTTGTATTGTAAATATACTACATATATGAAAATATGAAAATATGAGAATACTAAGGTATAACTTTTTAAAGGCAAATATTTGAAATGAAATAACATGTATATGTATTTTCAAAATACAAATACGCCGTTTAAAAAGGCAAGTAAAATAACATTAACAGTTATAATAAATAGGATCAAGGCAAGACATACAAATATACATTTATAAAGGTACAGATTATTGAAACAAATAGATGCAAATGGTTTCAAAGTTTTTAGTATAAGAGTATGTAAAGTTCGACATCAGCCATATTCATAAAAAGTTAAATATAAAATTACGATATGGCACCAGTTCAAAAAGAAGTTTTCATTTACCCTATATCATGAAAAAAGTTTACAAAATTCCAAAGATTGGATCGCCTGATTGCAAAGCATTTGAAAGTTCAGCTAAGTTGGTGCACTTCCCGGGTTCATTCCCTGGCCCTCATCGTATGTTACATTACCAGTCATGACGTCATTATATGATGGGGGCGGGACGATGTCGTTCCCCTGGGAGGTCGGATTGACCACGCCCATATGACTGTTAGCCGATGGCTGCGCAGGTAAGGGACCGCGTAGTTTACCGGCGGCGCGGCTCCCAGTTGGGGGTAAGGCATGGATGCCGCTGGTGGGTTGGTAGGGGGTGGGTACTGGGCAGCTCCGTTCGGATAGGGAGGATATGGTGCGACTGGGTAGCTTTAAAAGAACAAAGAAAGAAAGTACAATAATTTTTGTTGTTGACACATATTCAGTTCTTAGAAGGAATTACAAAAAATCCTGTTCAAATTATATTTATAACAATGTACTTTTGGTCAAGTCATTGGGTTTGTAATATAATTACTAGGCATTTGCGTTACAAAAATATAATCAGAGGGAGCTAAGGGTACGGTTCTGTCAAAGCACCTCAAAACGTTCCTCTCCACTATCAAAATGTGTCAACTTTTCATTAATAGTTAACCTAAATATTGTTTCATCACAAACTATTGAAAAAGCGTAAGGCTAAAACTTGTGTCTATTATACCGGTATACATTTCGAAATAACAAAATGTTACCGTGCCCCTTTAGACAACCATTAATCAATGTCCCCCCCCCCCCTCCCTCCCTCCCATCTTTTTTTAAAAGTTTGTCATAAGTTTGCCGACTTTTATTTGCGTATCATTTATTTAAGGTTCCTATCAATTGGTATCTTTTTACTTTAAATGACATTGGTAAGTATGAGGACTCAGAAAGAGCGAACTTACTTCTGTGAAGGTGGAGGATAAGGCTGGGCGGGGCCTCCAGGATACCCTGGCTGTGTTCCCATGGCAACTCCTCCAGGCTGCATCGCACCTGTTTGGATGATATAGGATGTCGTCTCACCGACTTGTGAAACTGTGGCGCTTCCTCCTTGTAAAGTTACATTGGATACTGTCATATTAGGGTTCAATGTCCCGGCCTCCATCCCTACCGCTGGCTGCGGAGACAATTTCTGCATGTGACATCGGAGGACGATGACGATGATGAGCAAGATGGCACTGATGAGGAGAACAACCATGCCCGCAATACCAACAGAACTAGCTAACCATCCTCCAATATTGGCCAATGTCATCCCTGCAATAAAACCGAACATGCCAAGCATGATAAGCATCATAAGGCTGACGCAGTGCACCGGGGTGACGGCCACCGGCGGCCCCCCTTGGTTACCACCTCGATTACCACCTCGGCGTCTCCAGCCGAAAGTAGAAAGGCCGGGACCCCGAAACATACGACGATTACCATGAATCCCACCATGAAGCCGACCATGATGATGAATATGACGAGGGTGATTATGGTGGTGATTGTGGTGATTATGGCGATGATTTGCACGTCGATGACCTCCAGCTCGGCGTCCTCCTCTTCGCTCACCCACACCCATGTTGAGGACGGTATATAGTTGTGATGATATCTATATTACGTTGAAAGCAGATACAGAAGAAAAGAGTATATAAAATAAAGTGAGTTACACAATGTCACCCAATTTTAATTTACTATTTCATAACTTGGTCAAGTGGTCACCCCCCCCCCCCCCCTCAACCCCCAGCTCCTTCTCAAAATATTAGGGAACGGATCAATGACAGTTAAAGGGGAGACGAATTGCCACCGACTAATCCAGGAATACAAACCCTCAGGCAATCTACGGTCATATTCACAATTAAACCTCGTGTCTACTTCGGTGTCAACTCTTTCTTATGATCATCGCTCTTTTTGCAAAGCTTCTGCTGAACTTTGGAACACAGTACTTTTACATGTCAACAAACTGTCAGACTGTCAACCAATTCAAAACTTGTCTTAAGACACATTGATTCAAAATTGCTTTTAATAATAAGCTTCTATGTTCGCATTGATGTATATTTCATATGTACCGAAATTAGAAGGTTTATTTATATTTGTTTTGTTTTGTTTACTATGTAATTGTTCATCATTGTATTTTGCTTGCGCTTATAGAGACTGCGGGGGTAAGCGCTTTATAAGCACCGTTATTATTATTATTATTATTAAAATCAAACGAAGAATACAAGAGAGTATAATGGTGATTATCAGAGATGTGACGGGGAAACAGAAATTCGGAAATCTGCAAATTAGAAATTTACCTGATTTACTAACATTTTCATATATGTATAGGTTATTTTGTGGAGACATGTAATTACCAACACCCTTCATTAAATGGAACTATTGTTTCATCACAATATCAAGAGGACTAATGTCTTTAAACTTGAACCGATAACATTGTTGAAGGTTGATGAAAAAATGCGTAATTTGTTAATGAATTGTTACTTATTATATTCCTTCTACTATAATAACCCTCTAACATGCACAAAGCCCTGCACAATTTTTCGAAACACAAATATATTGATGTTTTTTGTTGTTGAAGGCGTCACTGGGCAGCACCCTCTGACAGTAAATTCTCCAAACCAATATTTGCACTCAACCGTTTTTCCATGAATATAAGAGATACAACTGGCTTTTGACAATCTTCCAACATTGAAATGTTTGGAATGGTATGTAAAGCCAATTCCTTGCTTTGTGACGATTTCATTCACCTAAAATGTAATTAAATTATATCAATATTATGGTTGGGAGAATACAGGAATCGATCAGATCAGTTTTCAAATTTCAATCAAACTTTCAGATTATCTTTAATTGTACATCTAGCATTGAAGTCACTACCTACACATCAGTTTCTCGCATCTAAACAATGTTAATAAGTCCCTTTAAATCTCAGTATAAAATTAAAGAAATATAATAATATTAAAACATTATAAATCAAATAAGTGGAGTGCTGTTGACAGGGGGCATTCAACGAGCTATAGGCCTATTGATTGATTACGCCTACTACTTAATATTATTTTATACTTTACTACATGTATTTTACATCAATTTCGCCTACAAACTATTGGGTATACATTAAACTCCTCTTTCGCGTCAATTACGCTTACACCTTCAACTTTTTGCCTTATTCGACCACTTTTTGTATCTTCAAATCAACTTGATATTCCTGTTATAGATATATCAAGTTGGTTTGAAGATAACATATAATATGAGTTTCCTCTTTACATTTGTCTTGAAGTGAGGAGGAAATGGGATTCCGATCACAATCGATGGATATACCTGAAACGTTCAGTCACAGGCTGCTGTTTGAATCAAACAGCAGCCTACCTCTAAAAGTCTAAAGCTGCTTCATGTACAAAAGAGGAACAAGTACGTGTGGGACTTGATTTGAGACTAGAGGTATTTTAATGTTGTCGTTGATGAGTGTTTTTGGCAAACAGTCAATTATGACTATTATCACGAAATCACCACCTGCATATTTTGTAAGAGCGTCAATGCCACACCTAAGCTATAGATCAAATTTCAGAAGTTGTTTTCTTCCTGGCTCAACAACTTCGTAGTTCATTAGACTATACATGCAGCTCTGAAATTGTTTATCCGATATACCCTTGCACATATTATTAAATTTTCTCACAATATGATATGACTCTCGAAAATTAATATCATAGCAAACAGCTCTACAATGTTGTTGCATTACATCATCCTATTGTGTTGAAAGAAGTAGTAATTACATAATTCAAAATGCGTGTATCAATACAGAATTCATATTTAATAGGTAAAATATACTTTGAGCAATGTAATGTCTGTCAGAAAACAGACAAACCTAACTGTACGTGTACATGACAACATAATGGTCATACCAGGGATATGAGAGTTATACATGTAGCAGTTCCTACATGTACTATCATCATGATTTTATCACAGAGCAGTACATGTTTATGTAGGTCGCGTGCAAGTTCGATGTCAGTAGTACAGGACCAAGGGTCATGTACGTAGTCTACTCGACAGTGCAAAATACCATGTACATGTATATTATACTATACCAGGGAGTTGCAACTCCCTGACTATACTACATGCATATACAACGACACTTGAACAGTATACTACTCGATCTACGTACTTACATAGTATGTGTTCCAAAATCAGCTGCTGATCTAGGTAATTTGAAAACACGTCACTTCATCCATGATACAGGCGAGCTATCAGTTTAATAGTGGTTTGTAATCTATACTGTAGATGGTGCCTTGACGACGTCTTTCGAATACATGTATGCACAGGGATCCTCTCTTTTCTCTATAAATAACCATGATCCTACCGCTCGTGGTATAACCCAGACACGTTATTGAATATCGTATGCTCATGGAGATGGGACAATGATTCCGTCACGCCTTGCTGACCAGCGCGCGTCATCACATCCCACACACGCCGTACCGTATACAACAAAAGTGTACCTCAAAAGGCTTTTCTATATGACTTTGAAAGCTATTCATGATAAACAGTGACGTGTTTTTGTTTTTTGCCACGGGTGACTTAGCTCTTGTAGGCATTTCTACTTTTTGTATTGTGACCGCGTTCTCCTATCTTTGTTATGTAAAGCAGGCGCGGATCCAGGATTTTCTAATAGAGGGGGGCGGTTTCGATTTTCATCGGGTGGGGGGGGGGGGGGGGGGGGGGGGGGGGGGGGGGGGGCTGAAGCCTGTTGCCCGAAAAAGTAATTTTCTGGTTTCACAATTCGGCTAATGAGGGACCCGAGCCATTAAAAATTTGAGCATAATGTGTATTTTGTGAAAATGTTATTTATCACTAAAATAAACGAGAAAAGATATCAAAAATTCATATTCGGGCATCTCGCTGCCCCCCCCCCCCCCCCTCATAACGCGCGAAGCGCAGAAGCTTTGATGTTTCATGAAATTATTAGAGAAAGAATAGGATTCGTTGTATACCATTCTCGACTCTTAATCGTTGTCTGAATTCAGTTCCCCCCCCCCCCTCGCGCAAAGCGGAAGCTTTGACGTTTCATTAAAATATAAGAGAAAGAAGAGGATTCGTTGTCTACCTTTCTCGACTCTTATTCCTCATCTGAATTCAGTTCCCCCCCCCCCCTCCCGCGCCGGAAGCTTTGACCTTTCATATTTGAATTGAATTATTAGAGAAAGAAGACGATTTGTGTACCATTCTCGACTCTTATTCCTTGTCTGAATTCAGTGTTTGTTTTTTTTCCTCCCGCGTGAAGCGCGGAAGCTCTGACCTATCATGGTGTAATGAAATTACTAGAGAAAGAAAATGATTTGTTATTCCATTCTCGACTCTTAATGCTCCTCTGAATTCAGTTCCCCTCCCCCTCCCCGCGCAAAGCGCGGAAGCTTTGACATTTCATTAAATTATTAGAGAAAGAAGACGATTCTTTGTACCATTCTTTACTTTTAATCCTTGTCTGAATTCAGTTCCCCCCCCCCCTCCCGCGCCGGAAGCTTTGACCTTTTATATTTTAATCAAATTATTAGAGAAAAAAGATGATTCGTTGTTCGATTCTCGACTCTTAATCCTTGTCTGAATTCAGTTTCTCCCCCTCCTGCGCAAAGCGCGGAAGCTTTGACCTTTCACTAAATATTATTAGAGAAAGAAGACGATTCTTTGTACCATTCTCTACTCTTTATCCTTGTCTGAATTCAGTTTTTCGCCGCCCGCGCGTAGCGCGTAAGCTTTGACGCTTCATTAAATTAGAAAAAGAAGACGAATCGTTGTACCATTCTTGACTCTTCATCCTTGTCTGAATTCAGTTGCCCCCCTCCCGAGCGAAGTGCGGAAGCTTGGACATTTCATTAAATTATTAGAGAAATAAGACGATTCGTTGGACCGTTCTCGATTTGTCAGAATTTTCAAAAATGTTTTTGATTGTCTGCTCCTTTTTCGTCCTATGTCCTCTTACTTTCCCTACCGCCCCTGGCTACGCCCCTGCTTTAAAGGGGAATGAAACAATCATGATTGTGATAGCACACATTTAGGTTTAATAGTAGAAATGAATTTTTTTTAAATCTATTACACCAACCATGGATAAATCACGGCCGGAAGCGTCATATCACATTTTTGTGTTCGGGCAAGGGCCGGGACGTAGCGGCCAAGCGAGATTTTGCAATGATGAATGCTGAAATTGTGCATTCCAGAAAATCCCAAAGCCCAATATGTACGTTCTTTCGCTATATTTCTTTCTAGCTATATTTCTAAATTTCCCGGAGGACTTGTCCCCCTATCGGACCCAGGGTCGCCGCCCTGTCCATGATTACTACCAACATGAGTTCAAATACAAGCACAAGCGAGTTGGTATGAGCTGAATCCAAATGAAGGGTAAAGTTGTGAAGCGGCCCTACCGTTAATTTAAAATTTGACTGTTGAGTATATAGCTTATAATTTAAACGACATCCAAAGTATTGTGCCCTTTTCAAATTTCTCACTAAAGAGTGATGACCTTTGTAGCGCAGGGCTTTTTTGAACGTTTAACCTTGAATATAGGCGGCTCGAGATTTATGCGGCCGGCCAGGCCCCCTTTATTCAAAAAGGTTCTCCAAGCCTTCTAGAATGACCCCAAATCTCCCGATTACAGTTTTTCCCTTTTCCCCTCGTCGTTACTGTCACTGTACTCAGTGTTCCTCTTTCTCCGGTGTGTAAAGTCAGTACGGGCCGGATTTTTGTGTATTACGGGCCGGACTTTGTTGCTTAAAAAGTAACCGTTTATCGGAGATTTTGGGAACACAAATTCGGTACCTCCGACCCCGGAGTGGGATGGTTATCTTCTTTCTATTTTGTCTTTTTTTCTCTCTCTCTCTCTCTGTGTTTCTTTTCTCTTCTCCTTTCTTTTCTCTTCTCCTTTTTTATTCCCTTCTCCTTTCTTTTTTCTCTTCTTTTCTTCCTCTTTTTTTGCTGATTGAGGTGTTATATGCAAGGACAGAAAATTAACTTTTTTAGAAATGTAATTTTCTCTTTGGAATTCAGATATCGTCCGCCAAATGACTTTTTGGTACGGCCTCTCTTCAAATTGTTTTAATCACTCATGCGTGAAATATGCATCATGTAAGTTGGACCAAATGAAAGAGGAGGATCTACAAAATATGTGTCATTTATTAATTACAATTGTGATTAAGTTATAATAAAATCTCGATATTTCTCTTTTTTTCTGGGACGCACTGTTTGAATGCATTTCGGGCTAGGAGGGTCCGCAAGAGAGGTAAATTAAATTCTTCCGAATGTCTCGTGTTTTTATGGACTGAGCTATTTAAAACATTTCTTGAAAAACAGATGGCAAAATATTATTTATATAATTATAAAAAGTTGTTGTTACTGTTACCCTTGTTGTTGTTGATGATTTCGTTGCCTTTGTTGTTTGTTTGGGGCCCCGTTTGATGTTGGTCTACTGGGAAGACCTGCAATGAAAGCAAAGAACAAGATTCCATTTCTCCTGCATATTCCATTAAAATTATCTCCCTTATGATTAATACAGCCCCCCTCTCTCTCTCTCTCTCTCTCTCTCTCTCTCTCTCTATGTCTCTCTCTCTCTCTCTCTCTCCCCTTTCTCTCTCTCTCTATGTCTCTCTTTCTCTCCTTCTCTGTCTCTCTTTCTGTTTCTGGTTTTATTCAGTGTGGCATGCAGGCATGGACTGACTGTAGATTTGCTCGTTTTTTTAAAATCTCCTTTTAAATAAATTGTTAGAATATGTTTGGTTTTGTTTTCACGTATTTTAATGATTACTTCACCGCTAATATAATTTACTATCAAGTTTCCTAATAAACACTAAATCTATTATTATACGTGTCTAAATCTGTGATTGACAAATCGTCCGGTATCAATTATTATACTAATACAATTTGTAGCACATGTTCAAACCTTAACTAGATTTCAGCGGGTAGAGTTTAATTTAGTCCACCTAATAAACAATAGGAACTTTTTCATAAAATTAGGCCTAATGTAATTCGACTATTAAAAATGTACTAGTGAAGCACATGTCTGTTTCTGTTTCTGTATCGGTTGCGTAGCTGTACTCAGGGTTAAAGACTAAGTTGAGTTCTGGTCATGCGAATGCATTGTGAAAGAAACGGTGTGGAATCGACCAGAAAAGGTTGATCATCTAGCATATAAGAATTTGTGTGTATTGCAAGGTTCTGGAATCATCAAAATGATAAGAAATTTGGCCAAGTCTCGGTAAAGTTACAAACACTGTACACAGAAAGATGTATATGGGACTACACGAACACGTGGCGTAAAAATCATACCCTGGAGTTTTACGATGTTACATGACATATTTAGAATATGATGGCATTTGAAGAGCCATGCTTTTCGGGGAACATGTCTTATCTGATGTTCTTCCACACTTGCATAATAAGAATGATAACGCTCACAAATTATTTGTCACCTCTTCCCAGAACCCAACCTTCTTTGTCAACGTTTTGCTTAGTATGGTCGTATATCTTTCTATTCCTCACCGTCTTTTTTATTCATATTTCGGCATCAGCTAACATTATATTCATTATTATTATTAGATTATTATTATTTGCTAGGCTTCATTCAATCGAAGAGGAGACAATGAAAGGGGAGAAAGAATTGCAGAGATCGAATGACGGCAAACAAAAGAGAGAGAGAGACAGAGAAAGGGAGAGAGAGAGATTCATTAAGAGATTGAAAGAGGCAGACAGACATATCATAGACATAATACAGATCAGATGAATATAGGATGGTACAATTTACAGGAATTGGGTACTGATAAAACATTGATACTCTGCCCCTTCCTCACTCCCCCCCCCCCTCTCTCTCTCTCTCTCTCTCTCTCTCTCTCTCTCTCTCTCTCTCTCTCTCTCTCTCTCTCTTCTCTTCTCTCTCTCTCTCTCTCTCTCTCTCTCTCTCTCTCTCTCTCTCTCTCTTCTCTCTCTTCTTTCCCTTATAAACTATCTGCATCTATTGCTTACAAAATACAAAAAACACTTGCGAAACAGACCATTCGTTTTCACTTGTACATATATATTTCTCCAATAACAATTGACACGGCTGTCTAATAAGAATGTTTTTTACCTCATCCATAGCAGAATATGAACATTTTTTCATCATAGTGGAACTGAATGCATACAGTCCGATGCCGAAAAAAAAACTCATTTCAAATTTGTCGTTTTGTGTTTTACATTTTGTTTTAGATCTTGTGACAAATGAACTATATGAAAGTGTGTAATACTTATTCTTTAATAATAATAATAATAATAATAATCCGGTTTTTTATATAGCGCTCAACACACCGATCCAACGATGTACCTAAGCGCTTTACAGATATATTATTACCCCGGTTATCGGATTCAGGCTTACCCGCACACAATGTGTGCACATTTTCCACTCCCTGGGGAGCATTCCAGCCAGTCGCCATTTTACAGGCGCACACTTGCTCGTTCAACCACATGAACGTTCGCATCCTACCGGGTACCCATTTAACACCTGGGTGGAGAGTAGCAAGTGCAGGTAAATATCTTGCCAAAGGATATTAGTGCCGTGTCGGGATTCGAACCCTCGACCTTCGCATCTACAGTCAAGCGCCTTAAACCACTCGACCACGACACTCCCGCACTTCTTTTCATGTTATTAACATAACTTAAGTGTTTATGCAACCATTAAGAAAGACAATATCAACCCTAAATGCGATAAATTAAATCATTAATATAAATCTTCTTAATTACTCCTGCAAATATCAAATATAAATCAATATGTTAAAGGGGAAGTTCACTCTGGTATTAAGTTGGTTTTAATGGAAGCAGAATTTTCAAATTGTCTCTGTACATAAAACCTTAATATTTCATAAACTTTCATTTAAGCAAATGGGAGGAGAGCTTGCAAGATACGTCACATGGTTACCAATTCGTGTTCGATTGCTCGCAACTACAAATATTCATAACTTTCTTGTTTTTAATTGGCATTTTTCTCAAACGTTCACTGACTTCTTCCTCTAAGGTCTATGCTTCTACTAAAACAATTTAATATCAGGACGGACTTTCCCTTTAATAGGTCTATGATTATTATATAGATTTGTACATAATTCGAATGATATGTGAGTAATATCAAAAAGTAAAATTAAGTATCAGTTAATAGAAACATTGCAGTTTCTAAGAAGAAAGAACTTGCGCAGGATCAAAAGTGTTCTGCGATATTTTATGGCAGCTTGAGCATTTCAAAACAAAAACTGGGAACAAATATTACGGGAAAATGTTCCAATTAATCTAATGTGTGTATAGATAGAATGACATACTATACCAACGATCCTGATACACGTTACAGTATACTTGCTCTACACTTCGTGATTTATATCTTTCAGGAAAAAAATTACGTTAATGCTAAGGCGATTTAAAATAGGCATGATAACCAATAAGATGAGTTACTGGAAGTTTACTTGACTTGATATATATATATATATTTTAAATTTACAGCTACTTTTCATTTTTCAAAAAAAATCAGATTAAGAGTATGAAACGTTCGACATTAGCCACATTCAATAAATAAATATTAAATTACGATATAGCACCAGTATAAAAATAAGTTTTCATCTACCCCTACACAATAAAAAAAAGTATACAAAATTGCAAACATTGGATCGCCTGATTGCAAAGCATTTGGATGTTCAGCTAAGTTGGTCCAGTTCCAGGTTCATTTCTGGGTTCATTTCCGGGTTCATTTCCGGGTTCATTTCCGGGTTCATTTCCGGGACCTCGTCGTATTTTCCATTACCCGTTACGACGTCATTATATGATGGGGGCGGGACGATGTCGTTCTCTTGGGAGGTTGGATTGACCACGCCCATATCACTGTCAGTCGATGGTTGTGCAGGGTAAGGGGCCGTGTAGTTTACCGGAAACGTGGCTCCCGGTTTGGAGTAGGGAATTGATGACGCGGCTGGTGGGTTGTTAGCGGATAGCATAGAGGGAGGACACCACGGTGCGCTTAGTAAGCTTTTAAAGAACAAAGAAAGAAAGTAAAATACACTTTTCTGTTCACACATAATTAGTTCTTAAAAGGAATTTATAAAAAACATGTTCAAAATTATATTCATAACAATGTAATTTTGATCGAGTCATTGGGTTTATAATAGAATTACTAGACACTTTGTGTTTCAGTAATAAAATCAGAGGTAGCTAAGGGTACGGTTCTGTCAAAGCAACTCAAAAGCCTTCCCCTCCACTATCAACATGTGTCAATTTCCATGAATATATGTAGCTTACCTATTTTTTTCATCACAAAGTGTTAAAAGAGCACGCTTAAAGATAAAACGTACGTCTATTATATACATTCAAAATGATAAAATATTACCGTGCCCCGGTAAACGACTATAATCCAATGTCACCCCCCCCCCCCCCCCCCCCCCCATCCCCTCCCTTCTTTCCAAAGTTCGTCACAAATCGTGCCCATTTTTTTTGTTTATCATTTATTTAAAGTTCCTATCAATTAGTATGTTTTTACTTCAAAAGACATTGGTAATTATGAGGACTCAGAAAGAGCAGACTTACTTCCGTGCAGCTATAGAATAAAGCTGGGTGGGATCTTCAGGATACCCTGGCTGTGTTCCTATGGCAACTACTCCAGACTGCATCGCACGTATCCAATTGCCGGGTGTCATCTCATAAGGTTGTGAAGATGTTATGCTTCTTCCTTCTAAAGTCACAGTGGATGCTGGTAAATTTAGGTTCATGTTCGCTGCCTCTACCCATCCCTCCGGCACCGAAGGTAATTCCGGCTGCTTGTGACTCCAGCGGATGACGGCGATGATGACGACGATGACGACGATGAAAATGATGATGAGAAAAACAATGCCCGCAATACCAACGGCACTAGCTGACCCCATTCCGGCGACGGCCATCATTATCCCCGCCAGAAAAACGACAAAGAGTAGAAAGGCGAGACATTTGGGTCTACCGTGCTCCGACCTAAAAGAAAAAATTCGGGAGTGGATCAATGACAGTTTAGGGGAGAATCAAATGAAGAATACAAAAGAGTACAATGGTGATTATCAGAGATGTGATTGAGCAAAAAGAAATTCGGAAATCTGCAAATCAGAAAATTTACCTGGATAGGTTACCACTGATTATGCACTCACATTTTTCATATTTGTATAGATTACTTTATAGTGGAGACATGTATTCTATTCTTTCACCGTAATATCAAGAGGATTAATGTCGTTAAATCTCATTATGAAATAAAATAAAATAACAATAAAAATAAATAAATCAAATTAGTGGAGTGCCGTTGACGAAGAAATGATTTTCTCTTAACGAGCCAAAGGGCTTTTGATCAATTACGCCTACAACTTAATAGTTATTATTTAAACTAGAAATGCAATCGTGTCACAACGATGTGCGTGCAATGACGCCATGTTTCTACGTGTCAAACGAAAGAGCTTCTCTCGCCCTATCCAGAGCAATTTGTACGAAGTCTGTAGCTTCTGTGATATTGGAGATAGGTAGGGCGAAAGAAAGGCCTCAGCAGTGACCTTGATGGGATGGTAGTGACTATGCCTACGAAGTTTGAAAGAAATTGGGATAGGGGAAAGGACGTAGAAAGGGCTCGCAAGCACTGCGTGCAAAAACCAATGGGATTTGGTGCATGTTCGTCATTGCAATACAGATCGTTCTGGGGGTCAAAAGCGTGAACCCGATATGCCCCCATAGACTATGCGTGTAATGCATGAGCGGAAAACGTACAGGATCTGTATTATGACCGGAGTTAAATTGTTTTTTCTCTCTCTATTTGGTATCATTAGAAAGAGAATTTCATGATTGTTATTGTAAACCACACTCTTTTTTCTATGATAATCCTATCGAAACACGTGATGTATATAGGACAAAATGGCGTCTTAAATGGCCCCATTGACCAATTTTAAAAATCCGGCCATGAGGTGCCCTGCGTATTGGAACTCGGCATGTCACTGCAATTTTTCAAGGAAAAATAGGACGTTTAAGGGGCAAAAAGCAGTCTGAAAAAATGACGTCATAGCCGATACGTGTTAGATTCGGTCGGAAAATCGGCGGAATTCGTGTAGTGACCTTTGTTCAAATGCGATTTATTCACAATTTTCTGTGTGAACATGTACTAAACTTGGTATCATTCGAGGGCACTTCATTGCGGTCAGTTTGACACCATTGTTATGTTCGCGCAATGTATTGCACGCATTAAACGCGCTATTACGTAATGCATAGTAAATTCATCATTTTGGCGATAACTTTGCGCTGACACGTTTGAATTTTACCAAACTTGGCAGACAGTTGTCACGTATATGGATACTTAATAAGTTTCATTGATGTAGGTATAAAGATCGCCAATTTAGAGCAAGTTGAAGTTATTTCTCAATTTTCTTGAAAATGGCAAATTTGGAGGGCATTTTTCGCAAAGTCGGTCAGTGTTAGGGTATATAATTTTGTGTATGACTGGAAAGGGCATATGTTCAAGTATCTAAATCCATAAAAGGGTACGGGTCTGCCAAGCCATGATGGAGATACGGCCACAGAAAGAAAGCCAATTCCCAGAACTTTAATGGGGCAGAATGTGAACGAAAACAAGGCAATGACGAAGGTCGTCATTGCAATTATAGCTCTATCACATCAGTTACGCTTACAACTTAACTTTTTGCCTTATTCTACCACTTCCTATTATCTTCAAACCAACTTGATATCCCTCTGAGCTTCCTCTTTAAATTTGTCTTGAAGTGAGGAGAAATTGGGGTTCCGAAACAGCAGCCTGCCTTTAACAGTCTAAAGCTGCTTTATGTACAAGAGAGGAACACTTTTCTCATGATAATTAAAGATAAAGTTGAGTTCTGGTCATGCGATTGCATTGTAAAAGCAAAGGTGTGGAATGGATCAGAAAAAAAGTTGATCGTGTAGCATGTAAGTATTGGTGTGTACTTTAAGGTTCTGGATTCATCAAAATCATAATAAATTTGTCCCAGTCTTGGTAAAGTAACAAGCAGTGTACACAGAAAGATGTATACGGGACTACACAAATGGTGTCGAGCCTATACTTACCTTGATTTCCTCATCTTTCTATGCTCATTACTCAGCCAGTATACATTTTCTACCAAAATTGTTTGGCAAATGACATTTATTTGTAATCTTTAACATTCAGTGTACGTTTCGTTTGATTTTGTGAAAATTCATTTTCCTATTTTTTTAACCCAAACTCAAGTTTATCTTAAAGCTTGCCACGGTATACGTGTGGGACTTGATTCGAGAACAGATTAGATTATATAGCTTTGCAATTGTTAACCTGATATAACCTTGCACATAATTATTGTTTAATTTTCTCACGATATGATTCTCGAAAACTAATATTATAGCAAACAGCTACGATGTTGTTGTATTACATAAATATAAAAGTCATTGTGTTGTAAGTGATATGCGTGTATAAATAAAGTTATCATAAAACATGTACAAGAGACTTTTGAGCAATGTCTTCAGGATGTCTGAAAGCAGACAGTCCTATCTGTATTTCAGACTTTTTATAAATTCCACATCAAGAACATGAAATCACCTTGATAATAAAAGATATGAATAATTTGAATCAACAATTTATGACTGTTAAAAATAAGTTTTACAAAGTATTTTCAAGGATGTTAATGGCTTCCCATAGTCCAAATTAGAGATAAGGTCAACTTAGGATCTTTGTGAAACACCCCAGGAGTCATGTACGTAATCAACTCGTCAGTGCAAAATACCAATGCGTGTACATGTATATTATACTATACATGTTTATAAGATGATGACGTGAATCCTGATCAAATGATTGGATGGTAGCGCACACGTGACCAGGCATTTATTTAAGCTCACACGTAATTTTAATAATGACCGGTCATTAGTAAAATAATGTTATAAAACATCACAAATAATACACAGCAGTGAGGGCATTAGGAAGAATTGCCCACACAAGGTACCTTTGGAACCGTCTAACACGCCCGAGGCGACAGCCGAGGGTGTTTGGACTGTTTTGAAGGTACCGCCGAGTGTGGATAATTTTACTAATACCCTCACTGCTGTGTATTATTTGTATATTATACAGCGACACTTGAATAGTAACAACTCGATATACGGACTTACATACTATATGTTCCAAATACAGCTACTGATCTAGGTAATCTGACAACACGTTACCTAATCCATGATACAGGCGAGCTATCAGTTCAATATAACCCCTTTCACCAGTGACACATTGATATCTGATATTGTACTGATACTATATTATTATATACTGCATTTTAATCTTTACTGTAGATGGTGCCCGAGCACACATATCCTTGACTTTGTTTTTCGAACACATGCATGCACATTTCCTGGTATTATGCAGGTCCGGGTATAGGGTCTATTGTATGGCAATGATTCCGTTACGCATTGCTGTCCAGCGCGCGTCATCACACCACAAACCCCTCTGCTGGAGGGAGCCAGGATTTCCGGCAAAAGTTTGAACATCCCCAAGAGAACAATTAACAACAACAAACAAAAGAAGACGATTAGCACATTTCCCCAGTCATATGTAGGTCACCTACGATTAAAGCCCTCTTAATGTGTTCGGAGCCCCAACAATTTGATGGCAACATTTCACTTAATTTGTATCATAACGTGAAAGAGGATGTCATTTAAAGCTTATCTGCACTAGTTTATAGGAGGATTTAGACTACCCTGCAAGGTAACTGGACAGCTGGTTATCTCATCAACTCAGCACTCAATTAACATAAGAAATAGAGGATCATGGGGGACCAATGGTCACCGATTAAACATTGTTTTCTACATAGAGGGAGCAAGTAGCCACAAGTAGGACAGTGTGACTTTAAGACACATTTCTGCAAGGATTTTCAAAACAAACGTGTTTGAAGTCGAATATTAAATGAAAGAACACAAACTTTAGGTTTTCTGCGCACAACAGAAAACCCACATTATGTATTCTTTTAATCAATATATCAAATTTGTCTTCAAATTTATTGGGGGATCTGTGCAGATTTGTGTCTTCAATGACATCCTCTTTCACATGATGATACAATTTAAGTGAAATTTTGCCATCAAATGTTTGGCGAATTTGGGGCACCCAATACTTTAGAGGGGCTACATTACCCCACTAATAAGGTTAATCTACATGAACGTCCAACACATAGGGTTAGAGTCGGTAATAGAGTTAGGGTTAGGGTTACCTAGGAAACTTGAGTCTTTAGAGTTAGCTTCATTGGGGAAGCGTTGGTTAGCCTACAAACGTGCGGTCAATTGTTTGGGTGGGGTATTTTAAAGTTGCTCCACGAACGATTTTCTGATTTTAAAAAAAGGTTCTTAATAATTATGGTAAGGTGGGTGTGGGGGGGGGGGGGTCGGGGATCTGTCTTCACACGCTAATGTGGCCAGTCCGTAGCTGTTTCTTAGGATGACTAATTTCAAAATAAAGTTGTTAAACAAAAACTTGTAAAAAGCATTCTTTTGTGAGACTGACGGCCTCGGGCAACCGACAATCCACCAGACCAATATTGCCGGTCTCAAAGGCCTTTAGCCACACTAGCCGACAGTCGAAAAGATCGACATTTGTCCACATCCCGGCCTTAAAGGTAATGCAAAGTTTTGGGAAATTTTGAAAATTGAATAGATAGCGATTCTTTAAAATGATGATATATTTGGATGCCCCTGTGGATGTATTATAAGCAATACAAATATTAGCCCCTAAGACAATTCTGCTTTCGAGAAATTGAATAATCAAAAATTTACCGGTGTTCCCGATAAATTTCAAACATTTCAAATAGATTACCAGTGCCTTGTCGGCATTTCACTTCTCTACATAAATGATTGAAAGATTCAAGGGGTGTCAGTTTCTGCTAGATCATTTTGATCTGAGGAAAACATGTGCCGTTGATTTCAAATGAGTTTTACATTTATTGTAGGTTTTTGTTGAAGTGATTCGCCTATCTTACTATGTATGTAGCAGTTGGTGTTGTGGTCAAGATACAGACGATGACAATGACCATTTATTCTCGTACACGCGCACATGAACACGCGCGTCTATTATTACGTAATAAAACAGTATAATATATATATATATATATATATATCGTGCCATACCCTCGATCTTTGCCTCCATTAGATCCTTCTTATTATTATTTCATTCTCTCTCTTTCTGTGCGCTATTTGTGCGTTTGTGTAAATCCTCTCTTCACTTAGGTCTCTCTCTCCCTCTCTTTCGTTTTTTACCATCTCCCTCTCTTTCTCTTTCTATCTCAGGCTCTCTCTTTCCTCTTTCGACCCGCCTACTTTCTCTAACTTCACCATTATCATCTCTCTCTCTCTCTCACACTTTCTCTCTCACTCACTCTCTCTCTCTCTCTCTCTCTCTCTTTTCTCTCTCTCTCTCTGTCTAACTTGTCAGTTTCACTTCACGCGCATCTCTTGTTTCTTTCTAGCTCAGTCTCTATCCTTTTTTTGTATTGAACTGTGGGATTTCCGCTTCATAGTCTCCCACAATCTCCTATTTTGTCTTTTGAATAGCAATCGTCCTTAGTCGTAAACAATCACTTCTACAACGTTCTTCTATTTTGTCTTTTTAATAGAAATCGTCCTTAGTCGTAAACAATCACTTCTACAACGTTCATCTATTTTGTCTTTTGAATAGCAATCGTCCTTAGTCGTAAACAATGACTTCTGCAACGTTCTTCTATTTTGTCTTTTGAATAGCAATCGTCCTTAGTCGTAAACAATCACTTCTACAACGTTCATCTATTTTGTCTTTTGAATAGCAATCGTCCTTAGTCGTAAACAATCACTTCTACAACGTTCATCTATTTTGTCTTTTGAATAGCAATCGTCCTTAGTCGTAAACAATCACTTCTACAACGTTCTTCTATTTTGTCTTTTTAATAGCAATCGTCCTTAGTCGTAAACAATGACTTCTACAACGTTCTTCTATTTTGTCTTTGAATAGCAATCGTCCTTAGTCGTAAACAATCACTTCTACAACGTTCTTCTATTTTGTCTTGTTAATAGCAATCGTCCTTAGTCGTAAACAATGACTTCTACAACGTTCTTCTATTTTGTCTTTTTAATAGCAATCGTCCTTAGTCGTAAACAATGACTTCTACAACGTTCTTCTATTTTGTCTTTTTAATAGCAATCGTCCTTAGTCGTAAACAATCACTTCTACAACGTTCTTCTATTTTGTCTTTTGAATAGCAATCGTCCTTAGTCGTAAACAATCACTTCTACAACGTTCTCCTATTTTGTCTTTTGAATAGCAATCGTCCTTAGTCGTAAACAATCACTTCTACAACGTTCTTCTATTTTTTCCAAAAGCTGAATTTATTGAATTTTAGAAAACATAAAGAGTGCATGGCCAGAATAATCCGTTGGTGCATGTTAATTAAAATGTTAATACTCTTCTGCAATTATCTACTTTCTTTATATTCTGTTTTTATATCATTAGTGTTGTTATCATTAATATTATTATTATTGATTATAATCACCATTTTTATATTTATTATCATTATTATAATTATTATTATTATTATTATTATTATTATTATTATTATAATCCTCATAATAATTATTATTAATATTATTATCATTATTATTATTATTATCATTATTATTATTATTAAAATCCTCAATTTAATTATCCTCATCATCTAATTCTACTATTATTACCAATATCATTTTTCATTATCATTATTTTTATTGTTATTATCATTATCATCATAATTATTGTTATCAAGGAGGAGTAACTTTTAATTACGTTTACACTCTTCCTGTAAAAATTAATTATATTATTTCCTCAAATAAATGGTTATTTTCTTGATGAACGGAATGCCTGTGCATGAAAGTATATTTGTTTTGACATAAAATTAGTATCTTGCATATAATATCCTGTTGTCGATATTTTTTCTAATAAAATCAAATTGTCATGATAACAATAATTATAAATCGTCTATAATCATACAGGCTATATACATGCTTAAAGCTTATATAAAACATTTTTACTGAATATTTCCAATCCTAAAACGCATAAATGAGTGTAAATTTATTATTTTCATAATTAATTCATATTCTAGTTTCATTCTTATTTAGCAATATCGCATCTTATATTACAAGCTTTCTACTTGATAAAGCGCGTTATTTGATCAGATTGTACAAATTATCATTGTTAAAACATGAACACAAATGTACAATAATCGGCAATCACGTCAAACGATAATAATTTATTGCATCATCTTTAGATATTGTAACACACTATTCCACACAATCGTCAATACGTAGTTGCATATTAAATATTAAAAGAAGGTATTTAAACTCTATATTATACAAAATAAACTTTTCACATATGGTATTAACCTGTCGACTCCCTCTCTCTATATGTCTCTACCTCCCTCTATCTAATATTAGTACATGTTCATGACTATTTTGGACGGAAAAAGCATTCATCTTGTGTACGAAATTAGAATTTACAAATCCTCGTATGCCTCAGTCACATCATCAAACCTACTCAAAACCGACAGATTTTGGGCCGTAACAGGTGTTTCTTACATCCTTTTGAAATTAACATAACATTTTGTCATTAGTAGGATAGTTTAAGTGATTATTTTATTCGTTTGTGCGATGATTTTGCTTGATGTTTGCCTTATTATTACGAGAACTTGCAATCACATTAACTTACTCAAGTTAAATGTGAATACAATTGTAATATAGGCCTACATTGCATTCTCTAGATGCTTAACTTAGAAGTTACAGCTAAAATTAATATATGAAATATTGAAACTTGTTGCAACAACGAAAACGTAGGTAAACAGCTTAATACACAACTCAAATGAAAGTGTGTTTTTCCATAATATAATACTCTAGAGCAAATGATTTCCCTTTCGATTTTGACATATTCTATAAGAACTGTTAAGACACAATTATTAAAGAACATATACATTGTAGGTGCATGATATTAGTCTGGTACAGTGCAGTCATATTTACAGATTGATTAGCAAAAACAAAACAGGTCTTGAATTTTCAAATACATTTATACAAGTTGTCATGGACTGTGTTCAAAGAATGCACATCGTCTTATTTCAAAGTCTAAATACAATGTTTGCAAGTATCAAGTTGTTTGGGGGGATGTTGTAAATGACACCTTGGAAATGATAAGACAAACCGCTATTCTCCAACATACGCCTACAGTATATGAAAAGAATCGTATTTTATTATCTTCTTGATTTATTGTGATACTTGCTTGAATCACATTAAGGCATTGACCAAGATTTCATCACACATTCAAATGCACACGATAAAACCTGTTATCAGAAACTATTCCTCTCAAACATATTTATAGATTGAAGAAAAAACAGGAGGCACACTGATTCAGTTGCTTTTCCCCTCCAAGTCACAGATGACGCCAAATATACCCTGTAGTAGTAGTAGTAGTAGTAGCAGTAAGTAGTAGTAGTAGTAGTAGTAGTAGCAGTAGAAGCAGTAGTAGTAGTAGTAGTAGTAGTAGTAGTAGTAGTAGTAGTATAGTAGTAGTAATAATAATAATGATAATAATAATAATTACACTAATAATAATAATAGTATTAATAATATTATAAGAATAATAATTATAATAATAATAACAGATCCCTACACTAAAATAATAAAGAAACCTACCCTTACCCCACCCCCTCATAAAAACGCAATCTCACATAACACAAACAATATACCCCAGTTTGGTTAGCGAATGTGAACAAAACGTTCTCTTTTTTTTCTCCCTTTCTTTTCTTGTCTAAGTTGTGATTTTGCATCCAGCCTTACCCCCCCCCCCCCCCCCCCCCCCCCCCCCCCCCCCTCGTCGGAGATTTACGGGAACATACACTCACTACGTCAAAAGGCAACGTCTCCAGACGAAGGACAATGTGTACATATAATGACCATTTAATTTAACTTTGTAGGGCCTCACATTTAAGATATTGATGAATCTATCTCCATTTCTTTTCCCTTACTTGTGTGAATGCCAATAAAAAAATCCTGCTGTCTGACAATTTTCAAGATCTGAGGACTGAGGGCGCTCTAACATTTGTTAGTTTAAATGTAATGAGCATCGAATTTTCATTTACAGTTTTTCTATTGTTGGATCTACATGTCTACATGATATTTGATGCTAGAACCCCTCCCTCCCCCCCCCCTCCCCATCCCCTGCAGAATAAAAACACACTCCAGTATAAGGCCTACCCCTCCAAATTTACCAGAAAATGATTTTGGTTTCACCCCCGCCCCCCCTCCCCTCGCCTATCCGATACCTGCATTCAAGCTGTTCCCACTACGCCTCCGCCTCTGTGGCTTCACCCCATGGTTGGGATGGACATCGATACCGCCATCGCGGACATTACAACGTAGAGTAGTTTGGTGGTTGACCAGCCGTCGATGACCAGCCCTGCCACCAGGGCATTGCTGCCGTTGTGATTAAAGGCCCGGTCTCACCGCCAGAACTTTGCTGGAGCGTTCCTGGAGCGGTGAAAAAAATTCATCACCGCTCGTAACCGTTCACCACCGTTTAAAAGAAGTTGGCCCCCTTTAAGGCAACGCCGTATACGCTCGGCCACCGCTGATGGTCCCTCCTACCGCTCCGAAAGTTTTGAGCTGCACAAAATATTGCGAGCGGTGAGGAGCGGGCAATTTTCCGCTCCGGCAAAGTTCACCACCGCTCTAACAACGCCCAGTCAAAGTTTGGCACCGCTAGACGCAAGTTCGTGGACGCTTTGGTCCGCTAGGCCAACGCAGAAATCTTGAACGCTAGACCACCGCTGCTTCGCCAGCTTTGCCCGGGCGGTGATTAAACGTTGCACAAACTTTGGTGGAGCGGTTGTAAGCGTTTTACGAGCGGACACGGGATTGCTGGAACGGTGTCGGGCGTTGAAGCAGCGATCCATTGCGGTGATGAAATTTGGTTTGGCGTTGGTATGGAGGTGTCGGAGCGGGACCAACGCTCGCTACCGTTAACCAACGGTAAAGCAACGCCGGCTTCAGCGGTGCACCGCTAAGGCAACGCCCGTGTTTTAGATTTGTTTCCCATTTTGTGCGCGGTGACGAGCGTTGTCGAAATTCGGCCCCCTCTCCCTACCGTTCAAGGAACGCTCCAGCAAAGTTCTAGCGGTGAGACCGGGCCTTAAAGTCGTTGCAGCTGTTGCCGACACAGCACCATTCACAGGCACGCTTGGATGCGGCCTCGTTGCATCGGAAATCCATTGGGTCAGCGAGGTCCGATGGACAGGCGTCAGTCATGTTACATAACCGTGAGATCGCTGTGATGTTTTTGTCCTTTCCAGCATTGACTTTGTACACCTGTAGGCATATAAACACAGAAACATACACTGTCGCTCATAAAGGTGGAATATTTTAGTTTTACCCCAATTTATGGATTATTAAAAAAATTATTTAAAAATAATAGATCTAGAAAATAGGATACATTCTCAGATTTTATTGAATAATAATTTGCCAATGTGTGTTTTGCGGAACTGCTAAAGCATGTATATGCTACTATGCTTATTAAATAGGGGACCTACGCCCTCAAGTCATAAATGACAGTAATGAGGATTAATGCCCCACAAAAGGGCACTAATATAGCACATCGACCCGGTTTTGATCCTGGGGCCTCACAGTTACGAGGCCATTGCTTTGTCACTGAACCATGAATGTACGCAGCGGGGGCTAGGGTAGGGGCAGTTTCCATAAATAAAATAAAAAACAGAAAATGCAATAAATTTTCAATAATTTATTGCATTTTACCCTGGTCCCCAACATAAAAAAATCCTCTGGACTTCCATGCATTATGGCTCGAGGCATAGGCAAACAGAAGATTGTTTTATCCCGGGAAAAATGCAATAAATTATTGAAAAAAAAGTCGTTCGCTTTATGAAACACCCCCAGGTATGTTTGGAGGACCTGTACAAGATATACACTTTTTCTTCAGAGTTATTACCTTAAAAATTGCAAAAAAAAACTATTTCCAGTCGAGCCAGAACTTGATTTGTCAGAAGTGGAATTGCCAGAAGTGGAAACGCTATCTGTCATTATGCATGGTCGTCCAGAGGATTTGTTTATGTTGGGGGCCTGGGCAAAATGCAATAAATTATTGAAAATTTATTGCATTTTCTGTTGTTTTTTTAATTTATGGAAACTGCCCCCTACCCTAGCCCCCGCTGCGTACAGTCATGGTTCAGTGACAAAGCAATGGCCTCGTAACTGTGAGGCCTCAGGATCAACACCGTGTCGATGTGCTATATTAGTGCCCTTTTGTGGGGCATTAATCCTCATTACTGTCATTTATGATTTAAGGGCATAGGTCCCCTAGTTGATAAGCATAGTAGCATATACATGCTTTAGCAGTCACGCAAAACACACATCGGCAAATTATTATTCAATAAAATCTGAGAATGTTTACTATTATCTAGATCTATTATTTTTAAATTATTTTTTAAATAATTCCATAAATTGGGTTAAAAAAAAATATTCCACCTTTATGAATGACAGTGTATTTCGGCATCAGCTAACATTAGATTCATTATTATTATTAAATTATCATTATTTGCTAGGCTTCATTCAATCAAAGAGGAGACAATGAGAGGGGGAGAAAGAATTGCAGAGATCGAATGACGGCAACAAAAGAGAGAGAGGGAGAGAGAGAGAGAGAGATGGAAAGAGGCAGACAGACATATCATAGACATATTACAGATCACTGAGATGACAGAGTATAGTATGGTGCAATTTACATGAATTAGGTACTGATAAAACATTGGTACCCTGCCCATTCCTCGCTCCCCCTCCCCCTCTTTCTTTCTCTCTCTCTCTCTCTCTCTCTCTCTCTCTCTCTCTCTCTCTTCATCTCTTCCTTTCCTTATAAACTATTTACATCTATTTCTTACAAAATACAAAAAACACTTGCGATACAGACCATTCGTTTTCACTTGTACATATATATTTCTCCAATAACAATTGACACGGCTGTCTAATTAGAATGTTTTTAATCTCATCCATAGCAAAATATGAGCATTTTTTCATTATAGTGGAACTGAATGCATACAGTCCGATGCCGTAAAAAAAATTATTTCAAATTTGTCGTTTTGTGTTTTACATTTTGTTTTAGATCTTGTGACAAATGAACTATATGAAAGTGCGTAATGCTTATTCTTTTCACGTTATTAACATAACGTAAGTTAAGTGTTTATGCAACCATTAAGACAGACAATATCAACCCTAAATGCAATACATTAAATCATTAATACAACTTTTCTTAATTACTCCTGCAAATATCAAATATAAATCAATATGTTAAAGGGGAAGTTCACTCTGGTATTCAATTGGTTTTTATGGAAGCAGAATTTCAATTTTTCTCTGTAAATAAAACCTTAATATTTCATAAACTTTCATTTTGTGCACATGCACACACATAAACACACACACACATGAACACACGCACACACAATATATATATATATATATATATATATATATATATATATACACTTGCACAACACACTCACCAACTCATACACAAAGATCGTTTGAACACTTTTTCATTTTAAGTTTTACCTTAAGATTTTTGTTATGTTCTTGTTTTTTTTTTTAGGCCGCCATCCTTGTCAAGCTTTGCTTATGATTGCGGTCTCCTGCACTTTTCCAACAGAATAGTTCGGATAATAATTTAAATTTATGATAATATGTTATGGAAATAATAAGTTTCGTTATTATATGTACATATATTATGTAAAAAAACATTTTGACATGAAGAAATTATTGTTTGTTTATGTTGTATTATACCTTACATGTATGTTATGTTCTTTGTTATTCAGTTATATTTTATTTGGAAAAAATGCAGAAATAAAAATCAAATCAAATCATTTAAGCAAATGGGAGGAGAGCTTCCAAGATACGTCACATGGTTGCCAATTCGTGTTCGATTGATCGCAACTACAAATATTCATAACTTTCTTGTTTTTAATCGGCATTTTTCTCAAACGTTCACTGACTTCTTCCTCTAAGGTCTATGCTTCTACTAAAACAATTTAATATCAGGACGGACTTTCCCTTTAATAGGTCTATGAGTATTATAAAGATTTGTACATAATTCGAATGATATGTGAGTAATATCAAAAAGTAAAATTAAGTATCAGTTAATAGAAACATTGCAGTTTCTAAGAAGAAAGAACTTGCGCTGGATGAAGAGTGTTCTGCGATATTTGATGGCAGCTTCAGCATTTCAAAACAAAAATTGGGAACAAATATTACTGGAATATGTTACAATTAATCTACTGTGTGTATAGTTAGAATGACATAATACCAATGATCCTGATACACGTTACAGTACTTACTCTACACTTCGTGATCTATATCTTTCAGGAAAACATTTACGTTAACGCTAAGGCGATTTAAATTAGGCATGATAACCAATAAGACGAGTCAGTGGAAGTTTACTTGACTTGATATATATATATCTTTTTTTAAATTACAGCTACTTTTCATTTATTTTCTATTAAAGGATATCCAAAAGGTATCCAAAATAATGTTAAAAAGGTACAATAAATAGGAGCTGGGCAAGACGTACAAATATACATTTATAAAGGTACAAATTATTGAAAACAAATAGACGCAAAAAATAGTTTCTGGTTTAGGTTTCTGCGAAAAAAGTTTTCAGATTAAGAGTATGAAACGTTCGACATTAGCCACATTCAAAAAATAAATATTAAAATACGATATGGCACCAGTATAAAAATAAGTTTTCATTTACCCCTACACAATAAAAAAAAGTATACAAAATGGCAAACATTGGATCGCCTGATTGCAAAGCATTAGGATGTTCAGCTAAGTTGGTCCCGTTCCGGGTTCATTTTCTGGACCTCGTCGTATTTTACATTACCCGTCATGACGTCATTATACGACGGGGGCGGGACGATGTCGTTCTCTTGGGAGGTTGGATTGACCACGCCCACATCACTGTCAGTCGATAGTTGTACAGGGTAAGGAGTCGTGTAGTTTACCGGCAACGTGGCTCCCGGTTGGGAGTAGGGAATTGATGTCGCGTCTGGTGGGTTAGTAGCGGATAGCATAAAGGGAGGATACCACGGTGCGCCTAGTAAGCTTTTAAAGAACAAAGAAAGAAACTAAAATACACTTTTCTGTTCACACATAATTAGTTCTTAAAAGGAATTATAAAAAAACATGTTCAAAATTATATTCATAACAATGTTGGTCGAGTCATTGGGTTTGTAATAGAATTACTAGACAGTTTGTGTTTCAGAAATATAATCCGAGGGAGCTAAGGGTACGGTTCTGTCAAAGCAACCCCAAAACCTTTCCGCTCCACTATCAACATTTGTCAGTTTTCATGAATACATGTAGCTTATCTATAATTTTTCATCACGAAGTGTTAAAAGAGCACGCTTAAAGCTAAAACTTACGTCTATTATATACATTTCAAAATGATAAAATATTACCGTGCCCGGTAGACGACTATAATCCAGTGTCAACCCCCCCCCCCCACCCCCCCCCCCCCACCCCCCCCCCCTTCTTTCCAAAGTTCGTCACAAATCGTCCCCACTTTTTTTGTTTATCATTTATTTAAAGTTCCTATCAATTAGTATGTTTTTACTTCAAAAGACATTGGCTAAGTATGAGGACTCAGAAAGAGCAGACTTACTTCCGTGCAACTAGAGAATAAGGCGGGGCGGGGTCTTCAGGATACCCTGGCTGTGTTCCCATGGCAACTCCTCCAGACTGCAGCGCACGTTCTAAATTGACAGAGGATGTCATTTCATAAGCTTGCAAAGCTGTTGTGCTTCTTCCTTCTAAAGTCACAGTGGATACTGTCGTATGTGGGTTCGTATTCCCTGCCTCTACCCCTCCCGCTGGCTGCGAAGATAATTTCTGTTTTTGACACCGGCGGATGACGGCGACGATGACGACGATGACGAGGATGAAAGTGATGATGAGAATAGCAATGCCCCCAATACCAACGGCACTAGCTGACCACTTTCCGAGGATGGCCATTGTCACCCCCACCGTAAAACCGACAGCGAGTAGATAGATGACGCAGATGAGACATGGGAGTCTACCGTGCTCCGCCCTAAAAGAAAAAATTCGGAGTGGATCAATGACAGTTTAGGGGGGAATCAAATGAAGAATACAAAAGAGTACAATGGTGATTATCAGAGATGTGATTGAGCAAAAAGAAATTCGGAAATCTGCAAATCAGAAAATTTACCTGGATAGGTTACCACTGATTCACTCACATTTTTCATATTTGTATAGATTACTTTATAGTGGATACATGTATTTACCAACACCCTTCATCAAATAGATCTATTCTTTCACCATAATATCAAGAGGATTAATGTCGTTAAATCTCATTATGCAATGAAATAAAATAACAATAAAAATAAAAATAAATAAATCAAATTAGTGGAGTGCCGTTGACGAGGAAATGATTTTCTCTTAACGAGCCAAAGGGCTTTTGATTAATTACGCCTACAACTTAATATTTATTCTTTAACTTATAGCTCTATCACATCAGTTATGCTCACAACTTAACTTTTTGCCTTATTCTACCACTTTCTATTATCTTCAAACCAACTTGATATCCCTCTGAGCTTCCTCTTTAAATTTGTCTTGAAGTGAGGAGAAAATGGGGTTCCGAAACAGCAGCCTGCCTTTAACACTCTAAAGCTGCTTTATGTACAAGAGAGGAACGCTTTTCTCATGATAATTAAAGATAAAGTTGAGTTCTGGTCATGCGATTGCATTGTAAAAGCAAAGGTGTGAAATGGATCAGAAAAAAGTTGATCGTGTAGCATGTAAGTATTGGTGTGTACTGTAAGGTTCTGGAGTCATCAAAATCATAATAAATTTGTCCCAGTCTTGGTAAAGTAACAAGCAGTGTACACAGAAAGATGTATACGGGACTACACAAATGGTGTCGAGCCTATACTTACCTTGATTTCCTCATCTGTCTATGCTCATTACTCAGCCAGTGTACATTTTCTACCAAAATTGTTGGCAAATGACATTTATTTGTAATCTTTAACATTCAGTGTAAGTTTCGTTTGATTCTGTGAGAATTCATTTTCTTTTTTTTAACCAGAACTCAAGTTTATCTTTTAGCTTGCCACGGTATACGTGTGGGACTTGATTCGAGAACAGAGGCATTTGAAATCATCGCTTGCATAATTATGAAGTTATTTTTGTCCTGGCTTGACAACTTTTTAGTTCATTAGATTATATAGCTTTGCAATTGTTAACCAGGGCCCTGTCTTACAAAGAGTTGATATCAATCGCAACTTATTTGCGATCGATATCAATCGCAAATATGTACATAAGAGATAGGAGACTGGAAACTTGAGATTGATTGGAGGACTTGCGATTGATTTGGATCAATCGTAACTCTTTGTAAGACGGGGCCCTGATATAGCCTTGCACATATTGTTTAATTTTCTCACGATATGATTCTCGAAAACTAATATTATAGCAAACAGCTACGATGTTGTTGTATTACATAAATATAAAAGTCATTGTGTTGTAAGAGATATGCGTGTATAAATAAAGTTATCATAAAACATGTAAAAGAGACTTTTGAGCAATGTCTTCAGGATGTCTGAAAGCAGACAGTCCTATCTGTATTTCACACTTTTTATAAATTCCACATCAAGAACATGAAATCTCCTTGATAATAGAAGATATGAATAATTTGAATCAAAATTTTATGACTGTTAAAAATAAGTTTTACAAAGTATTTTCAAGGATGTTAATGGCTTCCCATGGTCCACATTAGAGATAAGGTCAACTTAGGATCTTTGTGAAACACCCCAGGAGTCATGTACGTAATCTACTCGTCAAAGCAAAATACCAATGCGTGTACATGTATATTATATTCCACATACTAATAATCTTGCTCTACGATTGGTCAAAAGTAAATCACGTGATGAAAGATAGTTCGTTACACTGTGTAGATAGTACTACTATCTACACAGTGCAACGCACTTTCACTGAAGATAGAGGTACTATCAACACAGGGCAACGCACTTTCACTGAAGATTATCCAAAAGCGCACTAAAACAGGCGTAATTAAGCGCGCATTACCAATGAGCGCAATTAAGGCAAACACATGCGCGCACCGTACCCTTAAGGGGTTGGGTTCAACTTTTAACTTTTTTGGTGTGAATTTGGGCCTGGTGTCTTTCATGTAGATGCATACACGTACTTTTTTGTTGTAGTTAAATTGTTTTAGATGTGGAATATAAAGCAAATAATCACCTGTTGGCTTCAGGCGATGGCAAACTAGCACTTCCTCGTCGATCAGAATGTATACGCTATCTTTCCTCAGCTTCGCTTCGGAAAGATAGCTACATCCAGATCGCCTCGGAAGTGATAGTTTGTCCCATCACCTTCACCAACGGTAGTTATTTGCTTACTATACATGTTTATAAGATGATAACGTGAATCCTGATCAAATGATTGGTTGGTAGCGCACACGTGACCAGGCATTTATTTAAGCTCACACGTATTTTTGATAATGACCGGTCATTATCAAATGCTAATGACCGGTCATTAGTAAAATAATGTTATAAAACATCGTTTTATAAAACAAATAATACACAGCAGTGAGGGCATTAGGAAGAATTGCCCACACAAGGTACCTTTGTAACCGTCTAACACGCCCGAGGCGACAGCCGAGGGTGTTTGGGCCGTTTTAAAGGTACCGCCGAGTGTGGATAATTTTACAAATACCCTCACTGCTGTGTATTATTTGTATAATATACAGCGACACTTGAATAGTATACAACTCGATATACGGACTTACATACTATGTGTTCCAAATACAGCTGCTGATCTAGGTAATCTGATAACACGTTACTTCATCCATGATACAGGCGAGCTATCAGTTCAATATAGCTCCTTTCACCAGTGACACATTGATATCTGATATTATACTGATACTATATTATATACTGCATTTTAATCTATACTGTAGATGGTGCCCCAGCACACATATCCTTGACTTTGTTTTTCGAATACATGCATGCACATTTCCTGGTATTATGCAGGTCCGGGTATTGATTTGATATATAACCCAAACACGTTATATATGACCATATAGGGTCTATTGTATGGCAATGATTCCGTTACGCATTGCTGTCCAGCGCGCGTCATCACACCACACACTTCTCTGCTGGAGGGAGCCAGGATTTCCGGCAAAAGTTTGAACATCCCCAAGAGAACAATTAACAACAACAAACAAAAGAAGACGATTAGCACATTTCCCCCAGTCATATTAAGGTCGCCTCCGAGGCTTAAAGCCCCTCTAAAGTGTTGGGAGTCCTAACAATTTGACGGCTACATTTCACTTAAATTGTATCATAACGTGAAAGAGGATGTCATTTGAGACACATTTCTGCAAGGATTTTCAAAACAAACGTGTTTGAAGTCGAATATTGATGAAGGAAACAAAGTTTAGGATTTCTGCGTACAACAGAAAACCCACATTATGTATTTTTTTAATCAATATATCAAATTTATCTTCAAATTTATTGGGGGATCTGTGCAGATTTGTGTCTTCAATGACATCCTTTTTCACATTATGATACAATTCATGTGAAATTCTGCCTTCAATTTTTTTGGCGAATTTGGGGCACCCAACACTTTAGAGGGGCTACATTACCCCCACAAATAAGGTTAATATTCATGAACGTCCAACACCTATGGTTAGAGTTGGTAATAGGGTTAGGGTTAGGGTTACCTAGGAAACTTGAGTCTTTAGAGTTAGCTTCATTGGTGAAGCGTTGGTTTAATAGCCTACAAACGTGCGATCAATTTTCGGGGTGGGGTATTTTAAAGTTGCTCCACGAACGATTTTCTGATTTAAAAAAAAAGGTTCTTAATAATCATGGTAAGGTGGGGGCGTTTGGGATCGGGTCTTCACACGCTAATGTGACCAGTCCGTAGCTGTTACTTAGGATGACTAATTTCAAAATAAAGTTGTTAAAGATAAAGACCAGTTATGGTCATGCGATTGCATTGTGAAAGAAACGTCGTGGAATCGATCAGAAAAGGTTAATCATCTGTCATATAAGTATAGGTGTGTACTGCAAGGTTCTGGAATCATCAAAATGATAAGAAATTAGGCCCAGTCTTCGTAACGTTACAAGCACTGTACACAGAAAGATGTATATGTGACTACGCACCCGTGCGCGACACGTGCGTTTATCTCTCACACACCAATAGATAAACTAATTTACCAAATATATCAATTAGAAGGCGGTTTCCCGGCAAAATTGTTATCATTATGTATTAGTCGAAACATATACTCTTTCACATAATTGGCAATAAGAACTTCCGTTTCTCTTTTTTGAAATTGGGGAGTTTCCAATACTGGTCTTTACCTTTAAAAAAAACTTTTAAAAAGCATTCTTTTGTGAGACTGACGGCCTCGGGCAACCGACAATCCACCAGACCAACATTGCCGGTCTCAAAGGCCTTTAGCCACACAAGCCGACAGGCGAAAAGATCGACATTTGCCCACATCCCGGCCTTAAAGGTAATGCAAAGTTTTGGGAAATTTTGAAAATTGAATAGATAGCGATTCTTTAAAATGTTGATATATTTGGATGCCCCTGTGGATGTATTATAAGCAATACAAATATTAGCCCCTAAGACAATTCTGCTTTCGAAAAATTGAATAATCAAAAATTTACCGGTGTTCCCGGTAAATTTCAAACATTTCAAATAGATTACCAGTGCCTTGTCGGCATTTCACTTCTCTACATAAATGATTGAAAGATTCAAGGGTGTCAGTTTCTGCTAGATCATTTTGATCTGAGGAAAACATGTGCCGTTGATTTCAAATGAGTTTTACATTTATTGTAGGTTTTTGTTGAAGTGATTCGCCTATCTTACTATGTATGTAGCAGTTGGTGTTGTAGTCAAGATACAGACGATGACAATGACCATTTATTCAAATGAACACGCGCGTCTATTATTACGTAATAAAACAGTATAATATATATATCGTGCCATACCCTCGATCTTTGCCTCGATTAGATCCTTCTTATTATTATTTGATTCTCTCTCTTTCTGTGCGCTATTTGTGCGTTTGTGTAAATCCTCTCTTCACTTAGGTCTCTCTCTCCCTCTCTTTCGTTTTTTACCACCTCCCTCTCTTTCTCTTTCTATCTCAGGCTCTCTCTTTCCTCTTTCGACCCGCCTACTTTCTCTAACTTCACCATTATCATCTCTCTCTCTCTCTCTCACACACTTTCTCTCTCACTCTCTCTCTCTCTCTCTCTCTCTCTCTCTCTTTTCTCTCTCTCTCTCTGTCTAACTTGTCAGTTTCACTTCACGCGCATCTCTTGTTTCTTTCTAGCTCAGTCTCTATCCTTTTTTCTGTATTGAACTGTGGGATTTCCGCTTTATAGTCTCCCTCAATCTCCTATTTTGTCTTTTTAATAGCAATCGTCCTTAGTCGTAAACAAGACTTCTACAACTTTCTTCTATTTTTTCCAAAAGCTGAATTTATTGAATTTTAGAAAACATAAAGAGTGCATGGCCAGAATAATCCGTTGGTGCATGTTAATTAAAATGTTAATACTCTTCTGCAATTATCTACTTTCTTTATATTCTGTTTTTATATCATTAGTGTTGTTATCATTAATATTATTATTATTGATTATAATCACCAGTGTTATTTTTATTATCATTATCATAATTATTATTATTATTGTTATTATTAATATTATTATCATTATTATTATTATCATTATTATAATCCTCATTATAATTATTATTAATATTATTATCATTATTATTATTATTATTATTATTAAAATCCTCAATTTAATTATCCTCATCATCTAATTCTACTATTATTACCAATATCATTTTTCATTATCATTATTGTTATTGTTATTATCATTATCATCATAATTATTGTTATCAAGGAGGAGTAACTTTTAATTACGTTTACACTCTTCCTGTAAAAATTAATTATATTATTTCCTCAAATAAATGGTTATTTTCTTGATGAACGGAATGTGCATGAAAGTATATTTGTTTTGACATAAAATTAGTATCTTCCATATAATATCCTGTTGTCGATATTTTTTCTTATAAAATCAAATTGTCATGATAACAATAATTATAAATCGTCTATAATCATACAGGCTATATACATGCTTAAAGCTTATTTAAAACATTTTTACTGAATCTTTCCAATCCTAAAACGCATAAATGAGTGTAAATTTATTATTTTCATAATTAATTCATATTCTAGTTTAATTCTTATTTAGCGATATTACATCTTATATTACAAGCTTTCTACTTGATAAAGTGCGTTATTTGATCAGATTGTACAAATTATCATTGTTAAAACATGAACACAAATGTACAATAATCGGCAATCACGTCAAACGATAATAATTTATTGCATCATCTTTAGATATTGTAACACACTATTCCACACAATCGTCAAGACGTATATAAACAGCAGTTGCATAAATATTAAAAGAAGATAAACAAAATAAATTTTTCACATATGGTATTAACCTGTCGACTCCCTCTCTCTATATGTCTCTACCTCCCTCTATCTAATATTAGTACATGTTCATGACTATTTTGGACGGAAAAAGCATTCATCTTGTGTACGAAATTAGAATTTACAAATCGTCGTATACCTCAGTCACATCATCAAACCTACTCAAAACCGACAGATTTTGGGCCGTAACAGGTGTTTCTTACATCCTTTTGAAATTAACATAACATTTTGTCATTAGTAGGATAGTTTAAGTGATTATTTTATTCGTTTCTGCGATGATTTTGCTTGATGTTTGCCTTATTATTACGAGAACTTGCAATCACATTAACTTACTCAAGTTAAATGTGAATACAATTGTAATATAGGCCTACATTGCATTCTCTAGATGCTTAACTTAGAAGTTACAGCTAACATTAATATATGAAATATTGAAACTTGTTGCAACAACGAAAACGTAGGTAAACAGCTTAATACACAACTCAAATGAAAGTGTGTTTTTCCATAATATAATACTCTAGAGCAAATGATTTCCCTTTCGATTTTGACATATTCTATAAGAACTGTTAAGACACAATTATTAAAGAACATATACATTGTAGGTGCATGATATTAGTCTGGTACAGTGCAGTCATATTTACAGATTGATTAGCAAAAACAAAACAGGTCTTGAATTTTCAAATACATTTATACAAGTTGTCATGGACTGTGTTCAAAGAATGCACATCGTCTTATTTCAAAGTCTAAATACAATGTTTGCAAGTATCAAGTTGTTTGGGGGGATGTTGTAAATGACACCTTGGAAATGATAAGACAAACCGCTATTCTCCAACATACGCCTACAGTATATGAAAAGAATCGTATTTTATTATCTTCTTGATTTATTGTGATACTTGCTTAAATCACATTAAGGCATTGACCAAGATTTCATCACACATTCAAATGCACACGATAAAACCTGTTATCAGAAACTATTCCTCTCAAACATATTTATAGATTGAAGAAAAAACAGGAGGCACACTGATTCAGTTGCTTTTCCCCTCCAAGTCACAGATGACGCCAAATATACCCTGTAGTAGTAGTAGTAGTAGTAGCAGTAAGTAGTAGTAGTAGTAGTAGTAGCAGTAGAAGCAGTAGTAGTAGTAGTAGTAGTAGTAGTAGTAGTAGTATAGTAGTAGTAATAATAATAATGATAATAATAATAATTACACTAATAATAATAATAGTATTAATAATATTATAAGAATAATAATTATAATAATAATAACAGATCCCTACACTAAAATAATAAAGAAACCTACCCTTACCCCACCCCCTCATAAAAACGCAATCTCACATAACACAAACAATATACCCCAGTTTGGTTAGCGAATGTGAACAAAACGTTCTCTTTTTTTTCTCCCTTTCTTTTCTTGTCTAAGTTGTGATTTTGCACCCAGCCTTACCCCCCCCCCACCCCCCCCCCCCCCCCCCCTCGTCGGAGATTTACGGGA